CATGGGGGGGGCTGTGAGCTGATGGAGCTCATCCTCCCCACCTGCCCTGGCTGGGGGGGGGTCTCCATCCCTACCCCCGTCCCTCCTCCTTTCTCTCCCCTCTGAAAGGCAGGAATGGGGCCGGGACAATGGACGGCGGCCACCCAGGCCGCATTCCTGCCGCGATGGAGACCTCATCCCCCCCCCCAAGGGATGGAGCAGATCTGGGGCCAGGCAGGGGTCAGGGCAGCGGGTCTGGGGCTCGGCAGCACTGGGGGCACACGGGGGCTTTGGTATGGGGGGGGCAGAGGCGAGAGGGGCAGCCATAAGGGACCGGGTCCCTGCTCCAGGGCAGGAGGTGGCACATGGCTGGGGATGGGATGGGGATGGGGATGGGGATGGGATGGGGATGGGGCGGGGATGGGGATGGGGATGGGATGGGATGGGATGGGGATGGGGATGGGATGGGGATGGGGACGGGATGGGATGGGATGGGAATGGGATGGGGTGGGGATGGGAATGGGATAGGAATGGAAATGGGGATGGGATGGGGATGGGGATGGGAATGGGAATGGGATGGGGATGGGAATGGGAATGGGATGGGGATGGGAATGAGATAGGAATGGAAATGGGGATGGGAATGAGATAGGAATGGAAATGGGGATGGGATGGGGATGGGGATGGGATGGGGGGGCTGTGTCTGAACACTGGGACCCCCCCAGGTCACACCCTTGTGCACAGGCCCCCATCTGTGTCCCCCCACCCTCCCCAGCTGAGCACCCTCCAACCATGCACCCCAACCATGCAACCCCCCAAGTGCACCCCCAAACCATGGCCCCCTCCATGTGCCCCCAGCCATGGCCCCCATCCTGGGACCTTCAACACTGCCCCCCAAAGCCACGCACCCCCAATGCCCCCATGGCCATGCCTCCCCCTGTGTTCCCCCCAGCCATGAACACTTCCATGTGCTCCCCCAAGTCGTGTCTCCCCTGTGCCCCCCAGCCATGACCCCCTCTATGTGTCCCTGTACCCCCCTTCATGTCCGCTCCCTCTGTGCCCCCCCATCCTCTCCATGCCCCCCCAGCCACATCATCCCAGCGATGTCCCTCCCACCCATGCACCCCTCCAAGCCCCCCCCAGCCATGGCCCCCTCTACGTGTCCCTGTCCCCCCCTTCCATGTCCCCTCCCTCTGTGCCCCCCCACCCCATCCTCTCCATGCCCCCCCAGCCATGCCCCCCCCCATGTGTCCCTCTCCCCCCCATGTCCCCTCCCTCTTTGCCCCCCATTCTCTCCAAGCCCCCCCCAGCCATTCCCCCCTCTACGTGTCCCTGTCCCCCCCTTCCATGTCCCCTCCCTATGTACCCCCCCTCCCCATCCTCTCCATGCCCCCCAAGCCATGCCCCCCTCCATGTGTCCCTCCCCCACCCCATGTCCCCTCCCTCTTTGCCCCCCATTCTCTCCATGCCCCCCCAGCCATGCCCCCCTCCATGTGTCCCTCCCCCCCCATGTCCCCTCCCTCTGTGCCCCCCCTCCCCATCCTCTCCATGCCCCCCCAGCCATGCCCCCCTCCATGTGTCCCTGTACCCCCTCCCTATGTGCCCCCCCATCCTCTCCATGCCCCCCCAGCCACATCATCCCAGCGATGTCCCTCCCACCCATGCACCACTTCAGCACCCCCCAAGCCATGCCCCCCTCCAAGCCTCCCCCAGCCATGCCCCCTCCATGTGTCCCCCCCCTTTCCATGTCCCCTCCCTCTGTGCCCCCCCCCATCTGCTCCCTGCCCCCCCGGCCCCACCCCCAGGCCCTGCCCCACGTCCCGGGGCCGCCCCCGCTCCCGCCCCGTCTCTCCCTGTTATTTTTCGAATATAAATAGGGGCGGCGGCAGCGCGCGCGGTCCGGGCCCGCTTCCCCCCCCCCTCCCCCCCCGCCACCGGAGGAGCCCCGGTACCGGCATCCCCCACCCCCGGTACCGGCATCCCCCACCCCCATCCCATCCCCAGCCTCCCCGGGTACCGGCGCTCGGGCCCGGCCGCGGCTCCCCCCGGGGCAGGGTCAATTCCTTGGTTCCGGGCCGGTCCCGCATGGCGGAGCCGGGCGGGCGGGCGCGGGCGGGCGCTGCCCCGGTCCCGGTCCCGGTGAGCTCCCCGGTGACCACGCTGGCGCTGGACATGGACAACCTGGCGGGGCTGGGCAGGTGAGGGGGTGCCGGGAGGGAGGGGGGGTGGTTTGGGGACCCCCCCATAACCTCCGTTGGTTGGAGGGGGGCACGGGGGGTCCCCCCGGGCTGAGCCCCCCCTTTCCGCTGTGTCTGCAGCCATTGGGACACCCCCAAGCGGATGGGGGGGGGAGCGACCCCCCAAAAGCGAGGCGGGGGGAGCCCCCGGGGCTCCGTCTCCTCCGATTCGTCCGATGCGGGTGAGTGAGGGGCGCTGGGGGGGTCCCTCTATTGAGGGGGTGCTGGGGGGGTCCCCTCTGCCCCATGGGCTCTGTTCCCCCCCGGTGCTCCCCTGCCCTTGTTCCCGCAGGCCTGGGGCCGGAGTCCCCCCCGGAGCAGGACCCTGCGGTGCTGGAGGACGTGTGAGTGCCCCAGCCCCACTTTTACCCCATCCCAATGCCCCAGTGGGGCTGAGCCTCCCGGTGTGCCCCCCACGTCCGCTATGGGGGGAGCGGGAGGGGGGACCCATTGCAGCGGGGGCAGGCAGGAAACCCATGGGTGCTGCTTGCCATGGGAGGCCAAGGGCTTTTCCGGGGTTCGTGGGATGGATGGGGGGGTATATAGGACTTGGGGGGGGGGGGGGTATGTATGATAATGGGGGGAGAGATATAAGAAAGGCAATATATATATGTAGGGGGAGATGTGTGTGGATGGAAATATGTATATAGATGGATGGGATATGTATATGGATGGGAGGATATATATGTGGATGGGGGGGGTATATGGAGGGGGGTGGATACATATTTATGTGGATGATGGATAGCTGTATGGATGGGGGAGATATATGGAGGGGGGATATATATATATATAAATACATGTATGGGCGGGGGTTATACATCTACATGGATGGAGGGGTCTATGGCGGGGGGGGACAGGACAGGACAGACTGCTGCCATGTGAGGGTACTGAGAGCCCCCTGGTCCCAGCATCCCCGGCCAGCTCTGGGGGTACCAGGATGGGGGTCCCGGTACCACAATGGGGGTCCCGGTACCACAATGGGGATCCATGTGCCATGGGGATCCCGGTACCAGGATGGGGGTCCCGGTGCCACAATGGGGGTCCCGATACCAGGATAGGGATCCATGTGCTATGGGGGTCTGGGTACCACAGTGTGGGTCCCAGTACCAGGATGGGGATCCATGTGCTATGGGGGTCCCAGTACCAGGATGGGGATCCATGTGCTATGGGGGTCCCGGTACCACAATGTGGGTCCCGGTACCAGGATGGGGATCCATGTGCTATGGGGGTCCCGGTACCAGGATGGGGATCCATGTGCTATGGGGGTCCCGGTACCAGGATGGGGATCCATGTGCTATGGGGGTCCCGGTACCAGGATGGGGATCCATGTGCTATGGGGGTCCCGGTGCCGCTCTGAGCCCCAGCCCCACAGAGGATGCGAGGCTCTGCCCCCCCCGGTTGCCGTTGGCAGGGCCGGGCGCAGCAGATGTGCGGGTGAATGGGGCCGGGGGGGGGGTCCCATCTGGCCCCGGCCCGTGCCCCATTGCGGGACCATTTGCATACAGGTGGAGAGCGGGGCCCTTTGTGTGCACGGGAAGGGGGGGGCCGCGACCACCCCAGAGCGGGGCCGCGACCCCGGCTTGGGCCAGATGGGGCTTAACCCCTTGTGGGGCTGAGCCCCACACATTGCGGGGGGGAGCACGGAGGGGTCTGTGCTGCTCGGTTATGGGGTGCCCTCTCCCCCACAGCTTCGAGAAGGCGGTGATGGAGGCAGGGAGAGTGCTCAAAGAGTGAGTGAATGGGGCTGTGCCCCCCCCATATCCCATCTGTGCCCCCATTCCCTTCCCAGCACCCCCGTCAGGCTCCATCCTCCTTCCTTGGCCCCTCTATGGGGAGCTGTGACAGCTTTGGGGGGGTCTCACCCCACTGTGGGTCAAGGGGGGGGGGCGGTTTGGCCCCCCCCATCCAGAGCATCTTCTCCCCTTCAATCCCTTCCTTTCCCGGCTTCTTGCAGCAATAAGCTCCCTATCCGGAGGATCCACTCGCTGCCGGTGGGTGCTGGGGCTGAGCGGGGATGGGGATGGGGATGGAGCAGGGGCTCTGCAGCTCCTTTGACCCCCCCCCCATTTCCGTCCCCCCCCATCACAGCCGCGGCTGCTTGGGGCCAGCCCGGTCCTGAGGAACATCTCCCACAGCCGGGAATTTAACGGGAGCTGCGCCCGCAGGGGCAGGGAGCCCGAGGCCACGGTGAGGGGCACGGTGCAGGCGGGGGGGGGAGGCGGGGCCAGGGGGATGCTAACACCGTGTGTGCCCCCCCCCCCCACACACACAGGAGGGGTTCGTGTTCAAGAAGCCGCAGAGGCCGGGGGGGCGCAGCCGGGCCCCCCCCAGTGATGGGGCCATGGGCAGGGACCCATTCACACAGAGACCAGGCTCCGCGCCCGACCTCATGGTGAGAGGGATGGAGGGGGGGCAATGGGAATGGGGTGATGCTGAGGGGGGATCCAGTGCTCCAGATGTGCCGGGAGACCCCAGGATGGGGGGCAATGGGAATGGGGGTGATGCTGAGGGGGGATCCAGTGCTCCAGATGTGCCGGGAGACCCCAGGATGGGGGGGCAAGGGGGATGGGGGTGATGCTGAGGGGGGATCCAGTGCTCCAGATGTGCCGGGAGACCCCAGGATGGGGGGCAATGGGAATGGGGGTGATGCTGAGGGGGGATCCAGTGCTCCAGATGTGCCGGGAGACCCCAGGATGGGGGGGCAAGGGGGATGGGGGTGATGCTGAGGGGGGATCCAGTGCTCCAGATGTGCCGGGAGACCCCAGGATGGGGGGGCAATGGTAATGGGGGTGATGCTGAGGGGGGATCCAGTGCTCCAGATGTGCCGGGAGACCCCTGGATGGGGGGGGCGGGCAATGGGGATGCTCCATAACCACCCAGCGCTGGTGTGGGGCTGGCCCCACTCGTGGTGATGTCCTCCCCAGTGTGACCCCCCCGAGAAGGAGAACGTCCCCCAGGGGGGGAGCCCCATCGTGCTGCGGCGCTGCTCCCTCACCTGCTCCATGGGCGAGGAGGAGGAGGATGACGGCTTCCTGGAGATCCTGGATGAGGAGGAGATGAAGGTTGGGAGGGGGTGAGGACGGGGGGGGGCAGCCGGCTTGGTCCCATCCGGGCTGGTGCTTCCCGTTGTGCCGGCAGAGCGGAGCCGCGGTGCCGGCGGGGATGGAGACGCTGCTGACGGCGCCGCTGGTGAGGAGCCAGGAGCCGGAGCCGGAGCCGGTACGGGGGCAGCGGGGCAGGAGCCTGGGCCCTGAACCCTTGTGGGGCTGGGGGGGGTGGCAGAGCCAGGGCAGCTCCGTGGGGGGTCCCCAGTGTCCCATGGAGCTGTTCCCAGTATCCCAATGAGCTCCATCACTGTTCCCAGTATCCCAATGAGCTCCATCACTGTTCCCAGTATCCCAATGAGCTCCATCACTGTTCCCAGTATCCCAATGAGCTCCATCACTGTTCCCAGTATGCCATGGAGCTGTTCCCAGTACCCCAATGAGCTCCATCACTGTTCCCAGTATCCCATGGAGCTGTTCCCAGTACCCCAATGAGTTCCATCACTGTTCCCAGTATCCCAATGAGCTCCATCACTGTTCCCAGTATCCCAATGAGCTCCATCACTGTTCCCAGTATGCCATGGAGCTGTTCCCAGTACCCCAATGAGCTCCATCACTGTTCCCAATATCCCATGGAGCTGTTCCCAGTATCCCAATGAGCTCCATCACTGTTCCCAGTATGCCATGGGGCTGTTCCCAGTACCCTAATGAGCTCCCTCACTGTTCCCAGTATCCCATGGAGCTGTTCCCAGTATCCCATGGAGCTGTTCCCAGTATCCCATGGAGCTGTTCCCAGTGTCCCATGGAGCTGTTCACAGTATCCCATGGAGCTCCATCACTGTTCCTAGTACCCCAATGAGCTCCATCACTGTTCCCAGTATCCCATGGAGCTGTTCCCAATATCCCAATGAGCTCCATCACTGTTCCCAATATCCCATGGAGCTGTTCCCAGCATCCCATGGTGCTCCATCACTGTTCCCAGTATGCCATGGAGCTGTTCCCAGCATCCCATGGAGCTCCATCACTGTTCCCAATATCCCATGGAGCTGTTCCCAGTATCCCAATGAGCTCCATCACTGTTCCCAGTATCCCATGGAGCACCATCACTGTTCCCAGTATGCCATGGAGCTGTTCCCAGTATCCCATGGAGCTCCATCACTGTTCCCAGTGTCCCATGGAGCTGTTCCCAGTATCCCATGGAGCTCCATCACTGTTCCCAGTATCCCAATGAGCTCCATCACTGTTCCCAGTATCCCATGGAGCTGTTCCCAGTATCCCAATGAGCTCCATCACTGTTCCCAGTATGCCATGGAGCTGTTCCCAGTATCCCAATGAGCTCCATCACTGTTCCCAGTATCCCAATGAGCTCCATCACTGTTCCCAGTATGCCATGGAGCTGTTCCCAGTATCCCAATGAGCTCCATCACTGTTCCTAGTATCCCAATGAGCTCCATCACTGTTCCCAGTATGCCATGGAGCTGTTCCCGGTATCCCAATGAGCTCCATCACTGTTCCCAGTATGCCATGGAGCTGTTCCCAGTATCCCAATGAGCTCCATCACTGTTCCCAGTACCCCAATGAGCTCCATCACTGTTCCCAGTATCCCAATGAGCTCCATCACTGTTCCCAGTGTCCCATGGAGCTGTTCCCAGTATCCCAATGAGCTCCATCACTGTTCCCAGTATCCCAATGAGCTCCATCACTGTTCCCAGTACCCCAATGAGCTCCATCACTGTTCCCAGTATCCCAATGAGCTCCATCACTGTTCCCAGTATCCCATGGAGCTGTTCCCAGTATCCCGCTCTCTCCATCCCCTCCCCAGGCTCCCCCGAGGCACAGGAAGTGCCGGCAGCTCTTCCGCTCGCCCTCGCTGCCCAGCTCCGTCATCAGACCCATCCTGAAGCGCATGGACCGGGACCGGCAGCGGGACCACGACCGGGACTGGGACAGCCCCGTCAGGACCAAGCGGCGCCGCAGCGTGGCCGGGACCCCCAGCACGGAGGCAGGGCCGGAGCCGGTGGGTGCTGGGTGCCGCTGGGTGCTGGGGCCAGTGGGTGCTGGGTGCTGGTGCTGGAGCTGGTGGGTGCTGGGTGCTGGTGCTGGTGCTGGAGCTGGTGGGTGCTGGAGCCAGTGGGTGCTGGTGCTGGAGCCGGTGGGTGCTGGGTGCCACTGGGTGCTGGGGCCAGTGGGTGCTGGGTTCTGGTGCTGGAGCCAGTGGGTGCTGGGTGCTGGGACCAGTGGGTGCTGGGTGCTGGTGCTGGTTCTGGAGCCGGTGGGTGCTGGGACCAGTGGGTGCTGGGTGCTGGTGCTGGTTCTGGAGCCGGTGGGTGCTGGGAGCTGGTGGGTGCTGGAGCCAGTGGGTGCTGGTGCTGGTGGGTACTGGTGCTGGAGCCAGTGGGTGCTGGGTGCCAGTGCTGAGTGCTGGGTGCTGGAGCCCGGTGGGTGCTGGTTCTGGGTGCTGGTGGATGCTGGAGCCGGTGGATGCTGGGTGCTGCTGGGTGCTGGTGCTGGGAGCCAGTGGGTGCTGGGTGCTGGAGCTGGGAGCCAGTGGGTGCTGGGTGCTGGTGCTGGAGCCAATGGGTGCTGGAGCTGCTGGGTGCTGGAGCCGGTGGGTGCTGGTGCTGGAGCCAATGGGTGCTGGAGCTGGTGGGTGCTGGAGCCGGTGGGTGCTGGTGCTGGAGCCAATGGGTGCTGGAGCTGGTGGGTGCTGGGTGCTGCTGGGTGCTGGTGCTGGAGCTGGTGGATGCTGGGTGCTGGATACTGGTGCTGGAGCCGGTAGGTGCTGGATGCTGGGTGCTGGATACTGGTGCTGGAGCTGGTGGATGCTGGGTGCTGGATACTGGTGCTGGAGCTGGTGGATGCTGGGTGCTGGATACTGGTGCTGGAGCCGGTAGGTGCTGGGTGCTGGTGCTGGGTGCCGCTGGGTGCTGAGCCCCGGCTGGGTCCCTTCGTGTCCCCGCAGGCTGCGCGGCTCCTGCGCTCCCGCTCCCTCTGCCCCCAGGACCTCGGGGCCCTGCTGGGCAGCGACCACCGGGAGCTCATCGGGGACTTCTCCAAGGTGGGGCCAGGGGGGTCCTCAGGGATAACGGGGGAGATGTGGGGCTATGGGGGTGCTGGGGCTCTATGGGGGTGCTGGGGGCTATGGGGGTGATGTGGGGCTATGGGGGTGCTGGGGGGCTATGGGGGTGCTGGGAGGCTATGTGAGTGATGTGGGGCTATGGAGGTGATGTGGGGCTATGGGGGTGCTGGGGGCTATGGGGGTGCTGGGGGCTATGGGGGTGCTGGGGGGCTATGGAGGTGATGTGGGGCTATGTGGGTGCTGGGGGGCTATGTGAGTGATGCGGGCCTATGGGGGTGCTGGGGGGCTATGGAGGTGATGTGGGGCTATGGGGGTGCTGGGGGGCTATGGGGGTGCTGGGAGGCTATGTGAGTGATGTGGGGCTATGGAGGTGATGTGGGGCTATGGGGGTGCTGGGGGCTATGGGGGTGCTGGGGGCTATGGGGGTGCTGGGGGGCTATGGAGGTGATGTGGGGCTATGTGGGTGCTGGGGGGCTATGTGAGTGATGCGGGCCTATGGGGGTGCTGGGGGGCTATGGAGGTGATGTGGGGCTATGGGGGTGCTGTGGGGCTATCGGGGTGCTGTGGGGCTATCGGGGTGCTGCGGGGCTGTGGGGGTGCTGCAGGCCTATGGGGGTGCAGGTGTGGGGTCTCCCCCTGACAGAGCCCATCTCCCCCAGGCCTATCTCCTGCAGACGGTGGAGGGCAAGCACCAGGACCTCAAGTACATCTCCCCTGCCATGGTGGGTGAGCAGCAGCCCCCAGCCCTGCACCCCCTATGGGGCTGCCCCCCATGACGGGCTCTCCCCACAGATGGTGGCCGTGCTGACGGGGCAGTTCAGCGGCCTCATCGAGAGCTGCGTGATCGTGGACTGCCGCTACCCCTACGAGTACGAGGGGGGGCACATCAAGGTGAGGGGCCCCCTCCACGGGCATGGGACGGGCTGGGGGGGCAAACGCAGCGGAGCTCAGTGGGGCTGAGCCCACCCAAAGGGGTTGAGCAGCCCCTAAAGGTGCTGGGGGCACCTGCGCCGATGGTGCCCCGGTCACTGGGGTGATGCTGGAGATGCAGGAAGCGACCTGGGGACCCCCCCGCGCCCCATTGAACCTCAGTGGTGCTGAGCACTCCCATGGGGCTGAGCCCCACCTGGGAGCAATGAGCAGGGCCGTGGGGCTGGAGGGGGGGGTGACGGCGGCTCCTGTCCCGCAGGGCGCCGTGAACCTGCCCCTGGAGCAGGACGTGGAGGAGTTCCTGCTCAGGAAGCCCATCGTGCCCTGCGACGCCTCCAAGAGGGTCATCGTCATCTTCCACTGCGAGTTCTCCTCCGAGAGGGGGCCCAGGATGTGAGTGGGGGGCACACGGGGGTGCCGGGACCACCCCCACAACGCCCTTGGCACCCCCTGGCATCTCTTTGCGTCCCCTTCCATCCCATTGCTCTCCTCTTCCATCCCTTTCCATCCCCTTACATCCCTTTGTGCCCTCTTCCATCTCTTTCCATCCCTTTGTGCCCCCTTCCATCCCATTGCTTTCCTCTTCCATCCCTTTCCATCCCCTTACATCCCTTTGTGCCCTCTTCCATCTCTTTCCATCCTTCTCTTTCCATCCCTTTGTGCCCCCTTCCATCCCATTGCTCTCCTCTTCCATCCCTTTCCATCCCCTTACATCCCTTTGTGCCCCTTCCATCCCATTGCTTTCCTCTTCCATCCCTTTCCATCCCTTTCCATCCCTTTGTGCCCCCTTCCATCCCATTGCTTTCCTCTTCCATCCCTTTCCATCCCCTTACATCCCTTTGTGCCCTCTTCCATCCCTTTCCATCCCCTTCCATCCCATTGCTTTCCTCTTCCATCCCTTTCCATCCCCTTTCCATCCCTTTCCATCCCCTTTCCATCCCTTTCCGTCCCTTTCCGTCCCTTTCCGTCCCTTCCGTCCCTTTCCGTCCCTTTCCATCCCTTTGTGCCCCCTTCCATCCCATTGCTTTCCTCTTCCATCCCTTTCCATCCCCTTCCATCCCTTTGTGCCCCTTCCATCCCACTGCAATCCCCTTTCCATCCCCTTCCATCCCTTTGTGCCCCTTCCATCCCATTGCAATCCCCTTTGCATCCCTTTCCATCCCTTTGTGCCCCCTTCCATCCCACTGCAATCCCCTTTCCATCCCCCTTCCATCCCTTTGTGCCCCTTCCATCCCATTGCAATCCCCTTTGCATCCCTTTCCATCCCTTTGTGCCCCTTCCATCCCATTGCTTTCCTCTTCCATCCCTTTCCATCCCCTTCCATCTCATTGCAGTCCTGGGATGCGTGCTCCCAGGGGTGGGAATTCTTCCATTCCCAAGCACAATAACCCAGGAAAGGGCTGAACTGCAGCCCCTGTGCTCCTGGTAGGAATTGATCAATGGGAATTGATCAGTGGGAATTGATCAGTGGGAATTGATCAGTGGGAATTGATCAGTGGGAATTGATCAGTGGGAATTGTCTGATTGGGAATTGATCAGTGGGAATTGATCAGTGGGAATTGATCAGTGGGAATTGATCAGTGGGAATTGTCTGGTAGGAATTGATCAATGGGAATTGTCTGATTGGGAGTTGATCAATGGGAGCTGTTGGGACCTGCTCGTTGGGAAGTGTTAATTGGGAACTGTCCATTGGGAACTGCCCCTTGGGAAGTGTTCATTGGGAGCTGTTCGTTGGGAACTGTCCATTGGGAGCTGTTAGCTGGGAGCTGTTAGTTGAGAGCTGTTAGTTGGGAGCTGTTAGTTGTGAGCTGTTAGCCGGGAGCTGTTAGTTGGGAGCTGTTAGTTGGGAGCTGTTAGCTGGGAGCTGTTAGTTGGGAGCTGTTAGTTGGGAGCTGTTAGTTGTGAGCTGTTAGCCGGGAGCTGTTAGCCGGGAGCTGTTAGTTGGGAGCTGTTAGTTGGGAGCTGTTAGCTGGGAGCTGTTAGTTGGGAGCTGTTAGCTGGGAGCTGTTAGTTGGGAGCTGTTAGTTGGGAGCTGTTAGCTGGGAGCTGTTAGCTGGGAGCTGTTAGTTGGGAGCTGTTAGCTGGGAGCTGTTAGCTGGGAGCTGTTAGTTGGGAGCTGTTAGTTGGGAGCTGTTAGTTGGGAGCTGTTAGTTGGGAGCTGTTAGTTGGGAGCTGTTAGTTGGGAGCTGTTAGTTGGGAGCTGTTAGCTGGGAGCTGTTAGCTGGGAGCTGTTAGCTGGGAGCTGTTAGCTGGGAGCTGTTAGTTGGGAGCTGTTAGTTGGGAGCTGTTAGTTGGGAGCTGTTAGTTGGGAGCTGTTAGTTGGGAGCTGTTAGTTGGGAGCTGTTAGCTGGAGCTGTTAGTTGGGAGCTGTTAGTTGGGAGCTGTTAGTTGGGAGCTGTTAGTTGGGAGCTGTTAGTTGGGAGCTGTTAGCTGGGAGCTGTTAGTTGGGAGCTGTTAGTTGGGAGCTGTTAGTTGGGAGCTGTTAGCTGGGAGCTGTTAGTTGGGAGCTGTTAGTTGGGAGCTGTTAGTTGGGAGCTGTTAGTTGAGAGCTGTTAGTTGGGAGCTGTTAGTTGGGAGCTGTTAGCTGGGAGCTGTTAGTTGGGAGCTGTTAGCTGGGAGCTGTTAGTTGGGAGCTGTTAGTTGGGAGCTGTTAGCCGGGAGCTGTTAGTTGGGAGCTGTTAGCTGGGAGCTGTTAGTTGGAGCTGTTAGTTGGGAGCTGTTAGCCGGGAGCTGTTAGTTGGGAGCTGTTAGCCGGGAGCTGTTAGTTGGGAGCTGTTAGCTGGGAGCTGTTAGCCGGGAGCTGTTAGTTGGGAGCTGTTAGTTGGGAGCTGTTAGGTTGGGAGCTGTTAGTTGGGAGCTGTTAGTTGAGAGCTGTTAGTTGGGAGCTGTTAGCCGGGAGCTGTTAGTTGAGAGCTGTTAGCTGGGAGCTGTTAGCTGGGAGCTGTTAGTTGGGAGCTGTTAGTTGGGAGCTGTTAGTTGAGAGCTGTTAGTTGGGAGCTGTTAGCCGGGAGCTGTTAGTTGGAGCTGTTAGTTGGGAGCTGTTAGTTGGGAGCTGTTAGTTGGGAGCTGTTAGTTGGGAGCTGTTAGTTGGGAGCTGTTAGTTGGGAGCTGTTAGTTGAGAGCTGTTAGCTGGGAGCTGTTAGCTGGGAGCTGTTAGTTGGGAGCTGTTAGTTGGGAGCTGTTAGTTGAGAGCTGTTAGTTGGGAGCTGTTAGCCGGGAGCTGTTAGTTGGGAGCTGTTAGTTGGGAGCTGTTAGTTGGGAGCTGTTAGCTGGGAGCTGTTAGCCGGGAGCTGTTAGTTGGGAGCTGTTAGCTGGGAGCTGTTAGCTGGGAGCTGTTAGTTGGGAGCTGTTAGTTGGGAGCTGTTAGCTGGGAGCTGTTAGTTGGGAGCTGTTAGTTGGGAGCTGTTAGTTGGGAGCTGTTAGCTGGGAGCTGTTAGTTGGGAGCTGTTAGTTGGGAGCTGTTAGTTGGGAGCTGTTAGCTGGGAGCTGTTAGCCGGGAGCTGTTAGTTGGGAGCTGTTAGCCGGGAGCTGTTAGCTGGGAGCTGTTAGTTGGGAGCTGTTAGTTGGGAGCTGTTAGCCGGGAGCTGTTTGCCGGGAGCTGTTAGTTGGGAGCTGTTAGTTGGGAGCTGTTAGTTGGGAGCTGTTAGCCGGGAGCTGTTAGTTGGGAGCTGTTAGCTGGGAGCTGTTAGTTGGGAGCTGTTAGTTGGGAGCTGTTAGCTGGGAGCTGTTAGCCGGGAGCTGTTAGCCGGGAGCTGTTAGTTGGGAGCTGTTAGCTGGGAGCTGTTAGTTGGGAGCTGTTAGTGGAGCTGTTAGCCGGGAGCTGTTAGTTGGGAGCTGTTAGTTGGGAGCTGTTAGTTGGGAGCTGTTAGTTGGGAGCTGTTAGTTGAGAGCTGTTAGCTGGGAGCTGTTAGTTGGGAGCTGTTAGTTGGGAGCTGTTAGTTGGGAGCTGTTAGCTGGGAGCTGTTAGTTGGGAGCTGTTAGCCGGGAGCTGTTAGTTGGGAGCTGTTAGTTGGGAGCTGTTAGCCGGGAGCTGTTAGTTGGGAGCTGTTAGTTGGGAGCTGTTAGTTGAGAGCTGTTAGTTGGGAGCTGTTAGCTGGGAGCTGTTAGTTGAGAGCTGTTAGTTGGGAGCTGTTAGCCGGGAGCTGTTAGCCGGGAGCTGTTAGTTGGGAGCTGTTAGTTGGGAGCTGTTAGTTGGGAGCTGTTAGTTGGGAGCTGTTAGCTGGGAGCTGTTAGCTGGGAGCTGTTAGCTGGGAGCTGTTAGCCGGGAGCTGTTAGTTGGGAGCTGTTAGTTGGGAGCTGTTAGCCGGGAGCTGTTAGTTGGGAGCTGTTAGCTGGGAGCTGTTAGCTGGGAGCTGTTAGCTGGGAGCTGTTAGCCGGGAGCTGTTAGCTGGGAGCTGTTAGCTGGGAGCTGTTAGCTGGGAGCTGTTAGTTGGGAGCTGTTAGCTGGGAGCTGTTAGCCGGGAGCTGTTAGTTGGGAGCTGTTAGTTGGGAGCTGTTAGTTGGGAGCTGTTAGTTGGGAGCTGTTAGTTGGGAGCTGTTAGTTGGGAGCTGTTAGTTGGGAGCTGTTAGCCGGGAGCTGTTAGCCGGGAGCTGTTAGCCGGGAGCTGTTAGTTGGGAGCTGTTAGTTGGGAGCTGTTAGTTGGGAGCTGTTAGCCGGGAGCTGTTAGTTGGGAGCTGTTAGTTGGGAGCTGTTAGTTGGGAGCTGTTAGCCGGGAGCTGTTAGTTGGGAGCTGTTAGCTGGGAGCTGTTAGTTGGGAGCTGTTAGCTGGGAGCTGTTAGCCGGGAGCTGTTAGCCGGGAGCTGTTAGCCGGGAGCTGTTAGTTGGGAGCTGTTAGCTGGGAGCTGTTAGTTGGGAGCTGTTAGCCGGGAGCTGTTAGTTGGGAGCTGTTAGTTGGGAGCTGTTAGTTGGGAGCTGTTAGTTGGGAGCTGTTAGTTGAGAGCTGTTAGCTGGGAGCTGTTAGTTGGGAGCTGTTAGTTGGGAGCTGTTAGTTGGGAGCTGTTAGCTGGGAGCTGTTAGTTGGGAGCTGTTAGCCGGGAGCTGTTAGTTGGGAGCTGTTAGTTGGGAGCTGTTAGCCGGGAGCTGTTAGTTGGGAGCTGTTAGTTGGGAGCTGTTAGTTGAGAGCTGTTAGTTGGGAGCTGTTAGCTGGGAGCTGTTAGTTGAGAGCTGTTAGTTGGGAGCTGTTAGCCGGGAGCTGTTAGCCGGGAGCTGTTAGTTGGGAGCTGTTAGTTGGGAGCTGTTAGTTGGGAGCTGTTAGTTGGGAGCTGTTAGCTGGGAGCTGTTAGCTGGGAGCTGTTAGCTGGGAGCTGTTAGCCGGGAGCTGTTAGTTGGGAGCTGTTAGTTGGGAGCTGTTAGTTGGGAGCTGTTAGTTGGGAGCTGTTAGCCGGGAGCTGTAGTTGGGAGCTGTTAGCTGGGAGCTGTTAGCTGGGAGCTGTTAGCTGGGAGCTGTTAGCCGGGTGCTGTTAGCTGGGAGCTGTTAGCTGGGAGCTGTTAGCTGGGAGCTGTTAGTTGGGAGCTGTTAGCTGGAGCTGTTAGCCGGGAGCTGTTAGTTGGGAGCTGTTAGTTGGGAGCTGTTAGTTGGGAGCTGTTAGTTGGGAGCTGTTAGTTGGGAGCTGTTAGCCGGGAGCTGTTAGCTGGGAGCTGTTAGTTGGGAGCTGTTAGTTGGGAGCTGTTAGTTGGGAGCTGTTAGTTGGGAGCTGTTAGTTGGGAGCTGTTAGCCGGGAGCTGTTAGTTGGGAGCTGTTAGCCGGGAGCTGTTAGTTGGGAGCTGTTAGTTGGGAGCCTGTTAGCTGGGAGCTGTTAGTTGGGAGCTGTTAGTTGGGAGCTGTTAGCTGGGAGCTGTTAGCTGGGAGCTGTTAGTTGGGAGCTGTTAGCCGGGAGCTGTTAGCCGGGAGCTGTTAGCCGGGAGCTGTTAGTTGGGAGCTGTTAGTTGGGAGCTGTTAGTTGGGAGCTGTTAGCTGGGAGCTGTTAGCCGGGAGCTGTTAGTTGGGAGCTGTTAGTTGGGAGCTGTTAGCTGGGAGCTGTTAGCCGGGAGCTGTTAGTTGGGAGCTGTTAGTTGGGAGCTGTTAGTTGGGAGCTGTTAGCCGGGAGCTGTTAGTTGGGAGCTGTTAGTTGGGAGCTGTTAGTTGGGGAGCTGTTAGTTGGGAGCTGTTAGTTGGGAGCTGTTAGCTGGGAGCTGTTAGCTGGAGCTGTTAGTTGGGAGCTGTTAGTTGGGAGCTGTTAGTTGAGAGCTGTTAGTTGGGAGCTGTTAGCTGGGAGCTGTTAGCCGGGAGCTGTTAGTTGGGAGCTGTTAGTTGGGAGCTGTTAGTTGGGAGCTGTTAGCCGGGAGCTGTTAGTTGGGAGCTGTTAGTTGGGAGCTGTTAGCTGGGAGCTGTTAGCTGGGAGCTGTTAGTTGAGAGCTGTTAGTTGGGAGCTGTTAGCCGGGAGCTGTTAGTTGGGAGCTGTTAGTTGGGAGCTGTTAGTTGGGAGCTGTTAGTTGGGAGCTGTTAGCTGGGAGCTGTTAGTTGGGAGCTGTTAGCTGGGAGCTGTTAGCCGGGAGCTGTTAGTTGGGAGCTGTTAGTTGGGAGCTGTTAGTTGGGAGCTGTTAGTTGGGAGCTGATAGCTGGGAGCTGTTAGCTGGGAGCTGTTAGCTGGGAGCTGTTAGTTGGGAGCTGTTAGTTGGGAGCTGTTAGCCGGGAGCTGTTAGCCGGGAGCTGTTAGTTGGGAGCTGTTAGTTGGGAGCTGTTAGTTGGCAGCTGTTAGTTGGGAGCTGTTAGCCGGGAGCTGTTAGTTGGGAGCTGTTAGTTGGGAGCTGTTAGTTGGGAGCTGTTAGTTGGGAGCTGTTAGCCGGGAGCTGTTAGCCGGGAGCTGTTAGCCGGGAGCTGTTAGTTGGGAGCTGTTCGTTGGGAGCTGTTAGCTGGGAGCTGTTAGTTGGGAGCTGTTAGTTGGGAGCTGTTCGTTGGGAGCTGTTAGCTGGGAGCTGTTAGTTGGGAGCTGTTAGTTGGGAGCTGTTCGTTTGGGAGCTGTTAGCTGGGAGCTGTTAGTTGGGAGCTGTTAGTTGGGAGCTGTTAGTTGGGAGCTGTTAGCCGGGAGCTGTTAGTTGGGAGCTGTTCGTTGGGAGCTGTTAGCTGGGAGCTGTTAGTTGGGAGCTGTTAGTTGGGAGCTGTTAGCCGGGAGCTGTTAGCCGGGAGCTGTTAGCCGGGAGCTGTTAGCCGGGAGCTGTTAGCTGGGAGCTGTTAGCTGGGAGCTGTTAGCTGGGAGCTGTTAGTTGGGAGCTGTTAGCTGGGAGCTGTTAGCTGGGAGCTGTTAGCTGGGAGCTGTTAGTTGGGAGCTGTTAGTTGGGAGCTGTTAGTTGGGAGCTGTTAGTTGGGAGCTGTTAGTTGGGAGCTGTTAGTTGGGAGCTGTTAGCCGGGAGCTGTTAGCCGGGAGCTGTTAGCCGGGAGCTGTTAGCCGGGAGCTGTTAGCTGGGAGCTGTTAGCTGGGAGCTGTTAGCTGGGAGCTGTTAGTTGGGAGCTGTTAGCTGGGAGCTGTTAGCTGGGAGCTGTTAGCTGGGAGCTGTTAGTTGGGAGCTGTTAGTTGGGAGCTGTTAGTTGGGAGCTGTTAGCTGGGAGCTGTTAGCTGGGAGCTGTTAGTTGGGAGCTGTTAGTTGGGAGCTGTTAGCCGGGAGCTGTTAGTTGGGAGCTGTTAGCTGGGAGCTGTTAGCTGGGAGCTGTTAGCTGGGAGCTGTTCGTTGGGAGCTGTTAGCTGGGAGCTGTTAGTTGGGAGCTGTTCGTTGGGAGCTGTTAGCTGGGAGCTGTTAGCTGGGAGCTGTTAGTTGGGAGCTGTTAGCTGGGAGCTGTTAGTTGGGAGCTGTTCGTTGGGAGCTGTTAGTTGGGAGCTGTTAGCTGGGAGCTGTTAGTTGGGAGCTGTTAGCTGGGAGCTGTTAGTTGGGAGCTGTTAGTTGGGAGCTGTTAGTTGGGAGCTGTTAGTTGGGAGCTGTTAGCTGGGAGCTGTTAGTTGGGAGCTGTTAGTTGGGAGCTGTTAGCTGGGAGCTGTTAGCTGGGAGCTGTTAGCTGGGAGCTGTTAGTTGGGAGCTGTTAGTTGGGAGCTGTTAGCTGGGAGCTGTTAGTTGGGAGCTGTTAGTTGGGAGCTGTTAGTTGGGAGCTGTTAGTTGGGAGCTGTTAGCTGGGAGCTGTTAGCTGGGAGCTGTTAGCTGGGAGCTGTTAGTTGGGAGCTGTTCGTTGGGAGCTGTTAGCTGGGAGCTGTTAGTTGGGAGCTGTTCGTTGGGAGCTGTTAGCTGGGAGCTGTTAGTTGGGAGCTGTTAGCTGGGAGCTGTTAGTTGGGAGCTGTTAGCTGGGAGCTGTTAGTTGGGAGCTGTTAGCTGGGAGCTGTTAGTTGGGAGCTGTTAGTTGGGAGCTGTTAGTTGGGAGCTGTTAGTTGAGAGCTGTTAGCTGGGAGCTGTTAGCCGGGAGCTGTTAGTTGGGAGCTGTTAGTTGGGAGCTGTTAGTTGGGAGCTGTTAGTTGGGAGCTGTTAGTTGGGAGCTGTTAGCTGGGAGCTGTTAGTTGGGAGCTGTTAGCCGGGAGCTGTTAGCTGGGAGCTGTTAGTTGGGAGCTGTTAGCCGGGAGCTGTTAGCTGGGAGCTGTTAGTTGGGAGCTGTTAGTTGGGAGCTGTTAGTTGGGAGCTGTTAGCTGGGAGCTGTTAGCTGGGAGCTGTTAGCCGGGAGCTGTTAGCCGGGAGCTGTTAGTTGGGAGCTGTTAGTTGGGAGCTGTTAGTTGGGAGCTGTTAGTTGGGAGCTGTTAGTTGGGAGCTGTTAGCCGGGAGCTGTTAGTTGGGAGCTGTTAGTTGGGAGCTGTTAGCTGGGAGCTGTTAGCTGGGAGCTGTTAGCTGGGAGCTGTTAGCTGGGAGCTGTTAGCTGGGAGCTGTTAGTTGGGAGCTGTTAGTTGAGAGCTGTTAGTTGGGAGCTGTTAGCTGGGAGCTGTTAGCCGGGAGCTGTTAGCCGGGAGCTGTTAGCCGGGAGCTGTTAGCCGGGAGCTGTTAGCCGGGAGCTGTTAGCCGGGAGCTGTTAGCCGGGAGCTGTTAGCCGGGAGCTGTTAGTTGGGAGCTGTTAGCTGGGAGCTGTTAGTTGGGAGCTGTTAGCTGGGAGCTGTTAGCCGGGAGCTGTTAGTTGGGAGCTGTTAGTTGGGAGCTGTTAGTTGGGAGCTGTTAGCTGGGAGCTGTTAGTTGGGAGCTGTTAGTTGGGAGCTGTTAGCCGGGAGCTGTTAGCCGGGAGCTGTTAGCCGGGAGCTGTTAGCCGGGAGCTGTTAGTTGGGAGCTGTTAGCTGGGAGCTGTTAGCTGGGAGCTGTTAGTTGGGAGCTGTTAGTTGGGAGCTGTTAGCTGGGAGCTGTTAGCTGGGAGCTGTTAGCTGGGAGCTGTTAGCTGGGAGCTGTTAGTTGGGAGCTGTTAGTTGGGAGCTGTTAGTTGGGAGCTGTTAGCTGGGAGCTGTTAGTTGGGAGCTGTTAGTTGGGAGCTGTTAGCTGGGAGCTGTTAGCTGGGAGCTGTTAGCTGGGAGCTGTTAGCTGGGAGCTGTTAGCTGGGAGCTGTTAGTTGGGAGCTGTTAGTTGGGAGCTGTTAGTTGGGAGCTGTTAGTTGAGAGTTGTTAGTTGGGAGCTGTTAGCTGGGAGCTGTTAGCTGGGAGCTGTTAGTTGGGAGCTGTTAGTTGGGAGCTGTTAGTTGGGAGCTGTTAGTTGGGAGCTGTTAGCTGGGAGCTGTTAGTTGGGAGCTGTTAGCTGGGAGCTGTTAGCTGGGAGCTGTTAGCTGGGAGCTGTTAGTTGAGAGCTGTTAGTTGGGAGCTGTTAGCCGGGAGCTGTTAGTTGGGAGCTGTTAGTTGGGAGCTGTTAGTTGGGAAGTGCTCACTGGGAAGTGCTCCTTGGGAACTGCTCACCGGGAGCTCTGTGCCGGGCTCCCTGCAGGTGCCGCTTCGTGCGGGAGCAGGACCGGGCCCGCAATGAGTACCCGGCCCTGCACTACCCCGAGCTCTACGTGCTCAAGGGCGGGTACCGCGAGTTCTTCCCCCAGTACCAGGTGAGCCCCAGTCAGCGATGGGAGCCGGGTCCCTGCCATGGGGCAGCGATCACAGCATCGATGGGATGGATTGGGATGGGGATGGGATGGGATGGATTGGGATGGGTATGGGATGGGATGGATTGGGATGGGGATGGGATGGGATGGATTGGGATGGGGATGGGATGGGATGGATTGGGATGGGGATGGGATGGATTGGAATGGGGATGGGATGGATGGGGAAGGGATGGATTGGGATGGATGGGATGGATTGGAATGGGGATGGGGATGGGATGGGATAGATTGGGATGGGGATGGGATGGATTGGGATGGGGATGGGATGGGAGGGGGAAGGGATGGATTGGGATGGGATGGATTGGGATGGGGATGGGATGGATTGGGATGGGGATGGGATGGGAGGGGGAAGGGATGGATTGGGATGGGGATGGGATGGGGATGGGATGGATTGGGATGGGGATGGGATGGGATGGGATGGGGATGGGATGGGGCATCGCCCTGGGGTGGTGCTGAGCTGAGTCCCGGGGCAGAGCCACTGCGAGCCGCAGGATTACCGGCCCATGCACCACGAGGACTTCAAGGAGGATCTGCGCCGCTTCCGCCTCAAGAGCCGCACCTGGGCCGGGGAGCGCAGCCGCAGGGAGCTCTACACCCGCCTCAAGGACTGCTGAGGACCCCTCCCCACCATGGGGCAGCCCCATAATCCACACCCCCCCTCAGCATCCCCCCCCCCCCTTAGTGGGATATGATGGGGGGCACAGTTGTGGTTTTACCTCCTTTTACCCCAAAATGGGTTTAGGTTTTGCTCTTGAGCTGGGTTGGTTTTGGGGGGGGGGGCTTCATCCAGGTCCTCAATCACTGCTGTGTTCAGGCTTCCTTTGGGGTGCCCCCCCCAAAACCCTTTTCCCTTCCACTACTGGCCCCACAACAGGCACATCCCCCCCCAGCCCTGGAGGAGAGGGGGGGTCTGCAGCTGTGCAAAGAGGTGGGGGACCCCCCCCAGGAGCCCTGGGACCCCCCCAATGGGGTGTTATAGGCAGCAAAGCACTTAACCCTGTGGGCGCTGGGGGGGGCACCCCTTGTGATACCCCCCTCCTGCAGCAGCAACAAGGGGTGCTATGGGGGGGGTCGTGGAGGGTTTGGGGTGATTTCCCCCCCCTTCCCCCCCATCTTATTTAAAGTAATTAGTTCTCTGAGGTTAATTGGGGAGGGCAGGAAGGGTTTTACCCCCCCCCCCCCACGTTGGGCTGAGCACTTGCAATGGAAGCACCAGGGGGGGGGGGGCTGGAGCTGCTGCCACCGGGTTGTGCCCCCCCCTTGATTATTTGATGCTATTAATTATTAATAGTCCCAATTAATAACTCCTCCGGGAGATGAATGAGGTGCTGTGTGATGCTGTACTTCCGCCATTCACCCCGCCCACCAGCCCCTTACCAGCCAATCAGCGCGCCGCTCCGCGAGGCCTCATCCAATCACAGCCCTCCGCTGTCACGTGCAGAGGGTTGACGCCGACCCCCTCCGTCACCCACCAATCGGCGCCGTCTCCTCCTTCCGCATCCCCACCCCCGGAGCCAATCGGATTCGGCGGCCGGGGTCGCGTTGCCATGGTGAGGGCGCTCGTGCTGCTGGCGCTGGGCGGGCAGGGCCCCGCTGGCCACGCCCCCTGCCGCGTGCTCTGCGCGCGCTCCTTCGGGACCCCCCCTCCCGACGGGGACCCCCCCGCGGACCCGGCCCGGGAGCGGCTCCGCCGACAGGAGCAGATCGCGGCCGTGGCCAGGTACGGGACGGACCCCCCCCCCCCCACCGGTACCGGTGGTACAGCCCCGCCCATCGGACACCCCCCCACACCGGTACCGGTGGTACAGCCCCGCCCATCGGACCCCACACACACCGGTACCGGTGGTACAGCCCCGCCCATCGGACACCCCCCCACACCGGTACCGGTGGTACAGCCCCGCCCATCGGACACCCCCCCACACCGGTACCGGTGGTACAGCCCCGTCCATCGGACCCCACACACACCGGTACCGGTGGTACAGCCCCGCCCATCGGACACCCCCCCACACCGGTACCGGTGGTACAGCCCCGCCCATCGGACCCCACACACACCGGTACCGGTGGTACAGCCCCGCCCATCGGACACCCCCCCACACCGGTACCGGTGGTACAGCCCCGCCCATCGGACACCCCCCCACACCGGTACCGGTGGTACAGCCCCGTCCATCGGACCCCACACACACCGGTACCGGTGGTACAGCCCCGCCCATCGGACCCCCCCCCACACCGGTACCGGTGGTACAGCCCCGCCCATCGGACACCCCCCCCACACCGGTACCGGTGGTACAGCCCCGCCCATCGGACACCCCCCCACACACCGGTACCGGTGGTACAGCCCCGCCCATCGGACACCCCCCCACCGGTACCGGTGGTACAGCCCCGCCCATCGGACACCCCCCCACACCGGTACCGGTGGTACAGCCCCGTCCATCGGACACCCCCCCACACCGGTACCGGTGGTACAGCCCCGCCCATCGGACACCCCCCCACACACCGGTACCGGTGGTACAGCCCCGCCCATCGGACACCCCCCCACACCGGTACCGGTGGTACAGCCCCGCCCATCGGACACCCCCCCACACCGGTACCGGTGGTACAGCCCCGCCCATCGGACACCCCCCCACACCGGTACCGGTGGTACAGCCCCGCCCATCGGACACCCCCCCACACCGGTACCGGTGGTACAGCCCCGTCCATCGGACCCCACACACACCGGTACCGGTGGTACAGCCCCGCCCATCGGACCCCCCCCCACACCGGTACCGGTGGTACAGCCCCGCCCATCGGACACCCCCCCCACACCGGTACCGGTGGTACAGCCCCGCCCATCGGACACCCCCCCACACACCGGTACCGGTGGTACAGCCCCGCCCATCGGACACCCCCCCACCGGTACCGGTGGTACAGCCCCGCCCATCGGACACCCCCCCACACCGGTACCGGTGGTACAGCCCCGCCCATCGGACACCCCCCCACACACCGGTACCGGTGGTACAGCCCCGCCCATCGGACACCCCCCCCCACACCGGTACCGGTGGTACAGCCCCGCCCATCGGACACCCCCACACACACCGGTACCGGTGGTACAGCCCCGTCCATCGGACCCCACACACACCGGTACCGGTGGTACAGCCCCGCCCATCGGACCCCCCCCCACACCGGTACCGGTGGTACAGCCCCGCCCATCGGACACCCCCCCCACACCGGTACCGGTGGTACAGCCCCGCCCATCGGACACCCCCCCACACACCGGTACCGGTGGTACAGCCCCGCCCATCGGACACCCCCCCACCGGTACCGGTGGTACAGCCCCGCCCATCGGACACCCCCCCACACCGGTACCGGTGGTACAGCCCCGCCCATCGGACACCCCCCCACACACCGGTACCGGTGGTACAGCCCCGCCCATCGGACACCCCCCCCCACACCGGTACCGGTGGTACAGCCCCGTCCATCGGACACCCGGTACCGGTGGTACAGCCCCATCTATGGGACACCCCCACACACCGGTACCGGTGGTACAGCCCCGCCCAAGCGACACCCGGTACCGGTGGTACAGCCCCGCCCATCGGACACCCCCCCCCCCCCCCCCCGGTACCGGAGGTACAGCCCCGCCCATCGGACCCCCCCCCCCCCGGTACCGGCGGTACAGCCCCGTCCATCGGAAACCCCCCCCGGTACCGCTGGTACAGCCCCGCCCATCGGACCCCCCCCCCACCGGTACCGGTGGTACAGCCCCGTCCATTGGACACCCGGTACCGGTGGTACAGCCCCATCTATAGGACACCCCCCCAACGGTACCGGTGGTACAGCCTTGCCCATCGGACCCCCGGTACCGGTGATACAGCCCCGCCCATCGGACACACACCGCCCCCCCCACCGGTACCGGAGGTACAGCCCCGTCCATCTGACCCCCCCCACACCGGTACCGGTGGTACAGCCCCATCTATGGGACCCCCCCACACACCGGTACCGGTGGTACAGCCCCGCCCATCGGACACCCCCCCCACCGGTACCGGTGGTACAGTCCTGCCCATCGGACACCCCCCCCCACCAGTACCGTTTGTTCAGGCACATCCATGGGACACCCCCCCACCGGTACAGGTACCTGTGGTACAGCCCGGTCCATGGGACTCCCCTCTTTATGGGATGCTCCCCACCCATCCCATGGCATCTCCCCTCTATGGGACATGGAGACCCATGGGACCCCAAACCCCTTTTTGGGGGGGACGGGGCTCGACGGGATCCCCGGGGCCGTGCGGCCCCGGGGATCCCGTCGAGCCCCGTCCCCCCCAACAGCTGTGGTCCCCCCCCATCCCTCCCTGTATTGGGGTGCTCTTAACACCCGTCCCCCCCCTTTTCTCCCCTAGGCAAGTGACCACCCAATGCCACCTCCTCCGCTCCTCCCTGCCTCACCCATCCTCTCCCCACGTCCCCCCCGATGCCGTCTCCTTCCAGAGCGCTCCCTATGGGGTTTTCCAGCTGCCCCCCGGGGACCCCTTTCCCGAGCGGGTGACGGTGACGTGGATCCAGGTGATGGCTTTGGCTTTGGCTTTGGTTTGTGAGCCCCAAGAGAACCTCGCCTTGGCTGAGCTCACCCTCCGCCGCCTGGCTCCGCGCTTCCTCGCATCCCTGCGGCTCCTGGATCCCGGGGCCAATGCCCTGCTCCATCCGGATGCAGCCGATGGGCTCCTCGAGCGGCTCCTGCCCCACGGGGAGATGCTCTTCCTCAACGAAGGCTTCATCCAAGGCATGGATCGGGAGATGGGCATCAAAAGAGCCCGCTGAGATGGGTGCGAAGCGGCCGCCGAATCCCAATGGGATGGATGGGAGCCGTCCGTAGCTCTGGAATAAAGAGCAACCAGGCAGCCAAGAGCAGGGTTTGGTCCATTTGTCCCTTTAGATGCCATCAGGGGAGGGCTGGAGGGGGCTGATGTCCATCCCCACGTTCCTGAATCCATGCTGGACAAATCCAGGACCATGGTTCCCAGACCAGGATGTTCCATTGTCCCTGGACCGGGATGCTCCATTGTCCCTGGATCGGGATGCTCCATGGCTCCCAGACCAGGATGCTGCATTGTCCCTAGACCGGGATGCTCCATTGTCCCTGGACCAGGATGCTCCATGGCTCCCGGACCGGGATGCTCCATTGTCCCTGGACTGGGATGTTCCATTGTCCCTGGACCAGGATGCTCCATTGTCCCTGGACCAGGATGCTCCATGGCTCCCGGACCGGGATGCTCCATTGTCCCTGGACTGGGATGTTCCATTGTCCCTGGACCAGGATGCTCCATTGTCCCTGGACTGGGATGTTCCATTGTCCCTGGACCAGGATGCTCCATTCTCCCTGGACCGGGATGCTCCATGGCTCCCGGACCAGGATGCTCCATTGTCCCTGGACCAGGATGCTCCATGGCTCCCGGACCGGGATGCTCCATTGTCCCTGGACTGGGATGTTCCATTGTCCCTTGATCGGGATGCTCCATTCTCCCTGGACCGGGATGCTCCATGGCTCCCGGACCAGGATGCTCCATTGTCCCTGGACCAGGATGCTCCATGATTCCTGGACCGGGATGCTCCATTCTCCCTGGACCAGGATGCTCCATGGTTCCTGGACTGGGATGCTCCATTGTCCCTGGAGCAGGCAGCTCCATGGTTCCCGGATCATCCGCTATAAAAGGATGCTAAAACAGGGGTGCTTTTCCCCACAGAAGGTCCTGGAAGCTTCTCACCATCAGCCCAATGGGTGCTGGGTGCCTCCATCCCCTCCATGTGGGACCCTGGGTTAGGGTTCTCCCCACTGGGTGCTATGAGGGGTACCCAGTGTGGGATGGGGTGGCTGGAGATGGGGTTTGTCACCTCGGGATAAGAGGGATCCTGGTGGGAATGGGGCACTGGTGTGTGTGTGTGGGAGGGGGTGTAACTGGTCCCGGTGCACTGGGAACCTTGTGAACAGGCACCCGAGCAGGATGCACCCGTGCCCGGTGAGTGGGGGCAGGTTATGGGTGCCAGCAGTGCTGGGAATGGGCTGGGTGCTGCTGGTGGAGCTGTGGGTGCAGGGGGGTCCTGGGATCCCATCCCACTGCAATGGCAAGGTGAGGGGCTGGAGCCATGGCACCATGACCCCCATGGCACCACAGCCAAGGGCAGCAAAGGGCAGGGGAGGGATGGGCAGAGGGGCTGGGGGGGCTTAGAGTGATGGAACCATGGATGGGTTGGGATGAAGGGACCTTAAAGCTCCTCCAGCCCCAACCCCAACCCCTTCCACTGGAGCAGCTTGCTCCAAGCCCCTGTGTCCAACCTGGCCTTGAGCACTGCCAGGGATGGGGCAGCCACAGCCTCTCCATTCAAGCCCTTCCCATGTGCCCCCACCCTCAGCGTGAAGAACTTCCCTGTATCCCATCCACCCCTTCCAGCTGGAAGCCCAAACTCCTCATCCCATCCCCATGCGCTGTTGTAGGAGCCCCTCTCCAGGTTTTCTGTGTCCCCTTCAGGCACTGGAGCTGCTCCAAGGTCCCTCTCCAGGCTGAACCTTCCCGGCTCTCCCATCCCGGGGCTCTGGGGGTGCTGGACTCCCCCCTGCATGGGGAAGGCCAGAGGCAGCCGCAGGAGGTGCAGTGGGAGCAGTTTAATCACAGCCCGGCACCGGGCTGCCTGGCTCTGGGGGAGCGGAGGTCCCTGGGGTCCCATCCAGCTCTCCAGCATGGTGCTGGCGACGGCTCCAGCAGCGCAGCGGCGCTGGGTCTGGGTCCGGGTCCCTCCCCGCGGCCTCAGGGCGCGCTCAGGTCCCTCTTGCAGACCCAGGGGAAGGTGAAGTTGCAGTTGTGGTCGTTCCAGAGCCCGTTGCCCACGGGGTGGATCTGGGCGCAGCTCTCCCGGCCCCACTGCCCGTGGTCGGTGCCGTCCGGCTGCCCCGGCGCCCAGAAGCTGCTGGGTCACAGTGGGGTCGGTGGGGGGGGTGCTGGGGGGGCTGAGGTCCCCCCTGTGCCCCCCAAGCCCCGCTCACCTCTGCGCCTGGCTGTAGGCGGTCCCGTCCACCCAGTGCCAGGACCCCCCCGGGCCCGTGGCCGTCAGCCCAATCCAATAGGATCCTCCTCTTGCTTCCCGTGCCAGGTAGTCCTGAGGGACGTGGGACAGGCAGGGAATACGGGGGGGGCATGGACGGGGTCATGAGCAAGGGGTGTGGGCAGTGGGTACAGGCAGGAGTGGGCACAGGGCAGGAGATGGTGGGGATGGGGGGTACAGGCACAGAGAGGGGCCACGGGCAGGGGTACCTGCAGCAGGAGAGGAGACCTCTCCAGGCAGAAGAGGGCATGGGCAGGAGAGGGCACAAGGGGACATGGGGCGTAGGCAGGGGGTACGGGCAGGGTTTACAGGCAGGAGAGGACATGGGCAGGGGATATGGGCAGGAGGGCACAGATGGGGATACAGGCATGGGCAGGAGAGGACAGGGATAGGGCTGTGGGCAGGGGTATAAGCAGGGGATGGCACAGATCGGGGTCATGGGCAGGGGGTACGGGCAGGGGATATGGGCAGGGGATATGGGCAGGGGATATGGGCAGCGGGTAATGGTGGGGAGAAGGCATGGACAGAGGGCACAGGCAGGGGGTATGGGCAGGAGAGGGCACGGATGGGGATACGGGCAGGGGTATAATGAGGAGATGGCACAGATCAGGGTCATGGGCAGGGGGTGTGGGCAGGGGATGTGGGCAGGGGATATGGGCAGTGGGTAATAGTGAGGGGAAGGCATGGATAGAGGGCACAGGTAGGAGGTATGGGCAGGAGAGAGCACGGATGGGGATACAGGCAGGGGGCACGGATGGGCAGGGGTATAAGCAGGAGGTGGGACAGACTGGGATCAGGAGAAGGCATGGGCAGGGGGCACAGGTAGGGGTCATGGGCAGGCGAGGGCCCGGATGTGGGTACGGGCAGGGCCACGGGCAGCACCTGCTCGTCGGGGCCGGTGACGGAGGCGAGGTGCGCGTGCACGGCGCGGCAGGCGGCCTCGGCATCGCGCCAGGGCTTGCGCTCCCCGGAGAAGAAGTAGATGTGGCCGCGGTGGTGCCGCCAGCCCAGCGCCAGAGCCTGCAGCCAGCAGCCTGCGGCACCCACGGTCACTCACCGGGAACACCGGGGGCACCCCCCGGGACACACACCCCCCCCCTCAGGGCACCCCCGTTCGTTACCGAGCTGCTCCTTCCGCTTCTGCACCGCTGCCAGGCTCTCAGCGGGGCTCCGGGTACCTGGGGGGTCAGGAGAGGCGATGGGCAGGGGCGCAGGCAGGGGTGCAGGCAGGGTGATGGAGGGTACGGGCAGCCCCACGGCCCCTCTCACCATCGGGCTCGGGCAGCAGATGGGTCCCGACTGCTGTGAGCTCTGCCCGCGCTGCCCGCAGCTCTGCCTGGCCCTGCATGTCTGGGGGAGACAAGTCACAGGGTCAGGTCCTGCCAGCCCCTGCCTGCTCCTGTCCCCTGCCAGCCCCTGCCTGCTCCTGTCCCCTGCCAGCCCCTGATCGTTCCTGTCCCCTGCCTGCTCCTGTCCCCTGCCAGCCTCTGCCTGCTCCTGTCCCCTGCCAGCCCCTGCCCGTTCCTGTCCCCTGCCTGCTCCTGTCCCATGCCCGTTCCTGCCCCTGCCCGTTCCTGTCCCCTGCCCGTTCCTGCCCCTGCCCGCTGCCCGCCCCAGCAGCACTCACGCAGGACGATGACCGCCGCCAGCGCTGCCCCCAGCACCAGCACCAGGCCGGTGCCCGTGGCCAGGGCGGTGCTGAGCGCGCAGCAGGATGCGGCCGGAGCGGAGCGGGGACCTGCGGGAGAGAGGCCGGGGGTGCCCTGAGCCGGGTACCGGTACCGGGGATGCCCCGAGCCGGGTACTGGGGTTGCCTCCAGCCGGGCACCGGTACCAGGGGTGGCCCGAGCCGGGTACCGGCACCGGGGGTGTCCTCAGCCGGGTACTGGGGGTGCCCCCAGCCGGGTACCGGTACCGGGGATGCCCCGAGCCGGGTATCGGAGGTGCCCTGAGCCGGGTACTGGGGGTGCCCCGATCTGGGTACCGGTACCAGGGGTGTTCCTAGCGGGCTACTGGGGTTGCCCCCAGCCGGGTACCAGGGGTGCCCCGATCCGGGTATCAGAGGTGCCCCGATCCGGGTACCAGGGATGCCCTGAGCCGGGTACTGGTACCGGAGGTGCCCCCCGCCGGGTATTGGAGGTGCCCTGAGCCGGGTACCGGGGGTGCCCCGATCCGGGTACCGGTACCGGGGGCGCGGGGCTCACCTCGGGCGGGGCTGGGCGGGTACTGGATCTGCAGCCGCTCGTAGAGGTTGGGCTCGGACACGGCCATGCCCGGCTCCTGCCGCAGCGCCGGCAAAGGGAAGCCGGGGTCTGTGGGTGCCGGTTCCTGCGTCACCCGGGTCCCCCGCCCCGGGCGGCTCCGCACGGGGCCATGGGCAGCGGGCAGGGAGCGGGGGCTGCGTGGCCCCCATGCCGGGTCACATCCCTGCATCCCAAGGGACACCCCAAGGGCAGGCGGTGCTTTGTGCGCCCCAAACAGCCGGGGAAACCCCAAACAGGAGGGATCCGGGTCCTGCCCCCGGTGAGCGGTGGTGCAGGTGGGAAGCAGCGGCAGTGCCTGGCTGGGACGATGGGCGCCCAGGATAGGCGTTATCCCATTGACTCCATGCTGGCTCAGGAATGGGAGCTGCCCTCCAGCCCGGGGGAGGTCAGCGCAATGGGCACCGTGCGGGCTGGAGATCCCCACTCCCAGTGACCCCAGACCTGCTGCCATGGGGCTGCGCGCTGACACCCCGGGCCCTGCTCTGGGAACACCGGGATGCGGTGCCCCGGGATCTACGGATCCATCCTGTGTGGCTGTTGCGCAAGGGCTGACTCAGGGCCCCAGCACCCAGCCCTAAGGGCACGGATGCTGCCCGACGAGGATGAGCCAAGCAGGAGGAGGAAGGAAGCGCTTGTGCAAGGGCTGAATCATCACCGCCGCTCCTCCCCTTTGTTCCCGGAACGGGGATTGCCCCATCCCAGGCGGAGAATCCCGCTCTTCCCCTTGTTCCCCGCCACATCTCCGACACCAGGGCCCAAGTCCCCGGTGCACCGCGCTCTCCATGAGGCCTCCATAGGGCTCCGTGCCTCCTCCTCGTGGCGTGTGGTTCCTTCCTGGCCCTCCAGTTTCGGGATCCAGAGCATTGAGTGAGCCCTGGGGATGGCCGCCAGCCTCGGAGAGCAGGGATCCGAGATGCTGCGCACTGGCACAGCCGTGAGCACGCCGCCATCGGGGTATCCTGGTGGTCCAGCAGCAAGGGGAGGGATGGGCCCTGCCTGGGAGCATCCTGCGCGCGCCTGGCTCCACATGCACATCCCTCGGCACGGCGTCCCCGCCTGCTTCCTGTCGGAAGGGGCCTTGTCCAGGTCCAACTCTTCCCTCCTGACACACGGGGACTCCACAACGCGTTAAAGCTGTACCGCAGGCATGCTTTAGTCAGCGCTGAGGCGCAGGGGGATCGCTCCTCCAAAGCCATTCCTGCCTTCCCTTTGCCGCTCAGACCGTTTATGTTACCTACAATGACTACAGGGAGATGAGATTGCTTCCCACCTCATCCATGTGCAAAACCTGTTCCCGTCTAGGATTAGAATTGGCTCGCTGGCATTCGCCCCATTGATGCGCTCACGCAGTGCCTCCTGCTGCTGGTGGTTAGGGGTCGCGAGGATGAAGGCCTGCAGTTCCTCTTCATCCCCGTGAGTAGCCTCTTGCTCCCACACTCAATGGGGTTCCACTTCCAGACTCAATGGGGTTTCGGCTCCTCCCCAACCCTCGCGGTCGGGACAAGCCGGGTTTATGTCTCTTAAAGCAGAAAGCTGTCAAGGCACCACTGTGGGTGCCTGCACCCCTCCTTCCAGCTCTCCCCGTTCCAGCAGAGCGGAGCAGCCCCACGGATGCCGCCACACCGGATAAAGGGGGCAAGGGGATCCCAATGGGAACGGGAACGCCTGTCCCATAAAGGCTTCCATGGCACCCGCAGCGTGCCCCACGGCTGTGACAGCCCCAGGCCGCTGAGGGACGGGACACGGGGACCCCAGGGGAGCTCAGCGGACCCCCAGCCGATCCCAATGGATCCCCCCTCATCCCACTGCACCCCAACACCCCCCGGCTCCCCGCCGCCTTTCCCCTCTCAAAATGGCGGCCGCCGCCCGCCCTCAGCGCCTGCCCGCACCCAAGATGGCTGACGCGGGGCGGGGCCTCAGCGGTGACGCCTCGCCCCCCGCGCAAGATGGCGGTTGCCCTCATCCAAGATGGCGGAAGGCACGGGGGGGAGAAGAAGGGCTGTGCCCTCTTCTAAGATGGCGGGCGCGGCGTCAGCGCGGCTCCCCTGGCGCGAAGCCTCTTTGTGACGCGCTGGGCGTAGGGGCGGGGCGGGAGAAAGCGAAAGTGGCGTTGGGAGCGGAACGGGAACGGGAACGGGAACGGGAGAGGGAGAGGGAACGGGAAAGAGAGCGGGGCCCGCCCCGGCGGGCGGCGGCAGGGCAGACAGGCCCCCATCCGGGCTCTGCGCGGGCGCCCCCTGCCGTACCGGAGGAGCCCCGGGGGTAGCCCCGGGGGGTCCCCCCGTTGCGGGCTGCGGGACGCGGGGACCCCCCCCCCCGGTGCGGGCCATGTCCCGGCTGGAGGCCGTGGCCAACGTGGCGCTGCGGGTGCCGGGGCTGGCGCTGCTGGACCTGCTCTACCGCTGGGACCCCGCGGCCCTCGGGGAGCTGCTGCGGCCGCGCCGCGGGGACCCCCCCCTCCTGCGCGCCCCCGCGCTCCGCGGCGCGCACTGCATGGGTGAGGGCGGAGCGGGGACACGGGGGGGTCCCAAGGGATGGGCAGGGGGAGGGCACTGGGGGGGGGAGCCCAGGGAATGGCAGCGCTGGGACATGGGGGGCACATCCCAAGGAGGAGCATGGAGGGGGGGGCAGCCCCGGTACTGGCCGGGCTGCGGGCACGAGGGGACAGCGCTGGGCATGGGGAGGTTGAGGACAGCAGGGTGCACCCCGAGGGATGGGCATGGGGGGGCACCCCAAGGGATGGGCATGGGGGGGCACCCCAAGGGATGGGCATGGGGGGGCACCCCGAGGGATGGGCATGGGGGGGGCACCCCGAGGGATGGGCATGAGGACGTGTGCAATATCATGTCCGGTTGGGGCCATAAGGGTGCACCCCAAGGGATGGGCATGGGGGGGGCATCCCAAGGGATGGACATGAGGATGTGTGCCATATCATATCCAGCTGGGGCCGTAAGGGTGCATCCCAAGGGATGGTTGGGGGATATCCCAAGGGATGGACATGAGGATGTGTGCCATATCATATCCAGCTGGGGCCGTAAGGGTGCATCCCAAGGGATGGACATGAGGATGTGTGCCATATCATATCCAGCTGGGGCCATAAGGGTGCATCCCAAGGGATGGACATGAGGATGTGTGCCATATCATATCCAGCTGGGGCCGTAAGGGTGCACCCCAAGGGATGGGCATGGGGGGGGCATCCCAAGGGATGGACATGAGGATGTGTGCCATATCATATCCAGCTGGGGCCGTAAGGGTGCATCCCAAGGGATGGGCATGGGGGGGACATCCCAAGGGATGGGTAAGTGGGGCACACAAGGAGGCACCCTAAAGGTGGCTGGGTTAGGAGCATGGAGAGGGAGGGAGGACACCCTAAGGGGTGTGCACACTGGGGACAGCCCAGGGTGCTCTCCATGATCGGGGGTCACCCTCTTGCTGTGGCTGTCCTGGTGCCAGCACCGTGTCCCCAGCGCTGGGTCCCTGCCCCTCCAGTGCCAATGGGGGCACTGAGGGGGGGGCTCAGCATCACCCCCGGTCCCTCTGCGCAGGCCACGTCGTGTCCCTGGTGCTGCTGCTGCTGCCGCTGCGCTCGCTGGTGAAGCTCTACCTGCACCTCCTCAGCGGGCTGCTGCTCAGCGCCGGCCACTCACTGGCCAGGTGACACCGGGGACGGGCGGGACATGGGGGGGACAGCGGGGACATGGGGGGCATGGGGGACATGGGGGAGACAGGGGGGACATCGGGGACATGGGAGAACTGGGGACATGGGGGAGACAGGGGGGCATGGGGGGCACGGGGGACATGGGAGCACTGGGGACATGGGGGAGACGGGGGGGCATGGGGGGCACGGGGGACATGGGAGCACTGGGGACATGGGGGGCACCAGGGACATGGGGGACACCAGGGACACAGGGGACATGGGGCAGACAGTGGGGACGTGGGGGGCGCTGGGGACATGGGGGGGACATGGGGGACACCGAGAACATGGGGGGCACTGGGGGCTTGGGGGTTGCACCGGGGACATGGGGACATGGGGGGGACATGGGGGACACCGAGAACATGGGGGGCACTGGGGGCTTGGGGGTTGCACCGGGGACATGGGGACATGGGGGGGACATGGGGGGCACCGGACCTGACCCTCTCTCCCTGCAGGGACTACGTGCACCAGGAGCTGGAGTCCGGCTTCCAGGGCGCTGTGCTCCGTGAGCCCGCGGCGCTCAGGGCCTCCATCAGCACCCTGGCAGGTGGGGGGGGGGTGCAGAGGGGCCGAGGGAAGGAGCTGGGGTGCGGGGTGAGGAGAGGCTCCCTCCCCAGGACCCGGTCCTGGACCCCCCCTGTGCTGGGAGCACCCCGGAGCGGGAGCAGCAGCGCCGGGAGGGGATCCTGCCCCTCTGCTGTGGGGTGGGGAGAGCTGAGAGCGGCTCCAGGGGCTGAGGGGGGTACAGGGAACGTGGAGAGGGGCTGGGGACAAGGGAGGCAGGGATGGGATGAGGGCTTCCGGCTGGAAGAGGGAAGAGCTGGGTGGGATACAGGGAAGTTCTTCCCTATGAGGGCGGTGGGACACGGGAAGGGGTTGAAGCCGTGGCTGCCCCATCCCTGGCAGTGCTCAAGGCCGGGCTGGACACAGGGCTTGGAGCAAGCTGCTCCAGTGGAAGGGGTCCCTGGCGCTGGATGGGCTTTAAGCCCCCCCCATGTATGAGGTCCCAGGGGTGTCTCCGTGCAGGCCGAGCTGTTCCCTGACCCCGTCCCGTCCCGTCCCCGCAGCCCAGCTCTGCCTCTGTGCCCTGTGCTCGCTGCTGCTGCGGTGCCGGCGGCCGTGGCTGCTGCTGGCTCCGGTGCTGCCGGTGCTGGCGCGGCTCTGCGGGCTGCCCCCGCCGGCGCTGCCCCTGCTCCACGCCGCGGCCGCGCTGCTCACCCTCACCGTGGTGCTCTGCCTGCTGGGCCCCCACCTCCTGCCCCCCGTGCGCCTGGCGGCCGCCGCCGCCACGGACCTGATGGAGGTGAGCGGGGCTGCGGGCTCCCGTCCCGCCCCACACGTGTGGGGCTGCCCCGCTGAGCGCCCTTGTGCCCCCCCCTTCCCCCGCAGGCGCTGGAGCTGTCCCGGCTGCTGGCGCTGGGGGTGTCCCTATGGAGCCGGCTGGCCGTGCCCCTCCTCTTCCTCGTCTTCTGGCTCGTGCTCTTCTCCCTGCAGCTCTGCGCCTTCCTCGCCTCGTCCGGCACCCCCCTGAGCGCGCAGGGCTTCCTCTTCCTCCTCCTCAGCAGGTAGGAGCGGGCAGCCCGGGGGTTGAGGAGGGTCCGGGCCTTGGGGTGCTCCCGGCGGGCCCGTGACGGCGGCTCGGCTCCCTTGCAGCGCGGCCGAGTGCTGCAGCACTCCCTACGCCCTGCTCGGCCTCACCTTCACCGTCTCCTACCTGGCCCTGGGGCTCCTCAGCCTCTGCAAGTTCTACCTGGTGGGGTTCAGCGCCTTCCACACCGGCAACGGCACGCACCGGTGAGCTGGGATGGGGACAGGGATGGGGACAGGGATGGGGACAGGCACCGGTGAGCTGGGATGGGGACAGGCACCGGGGAGCTGGGATGGGGACAGGGATGGGGACAGGGATGGGGACAGGGATGGGGACAGGCACCGGTGAGCTGGGATGGGGACAGGGATGGGGACAGGCACCGGTGAGCTGGGATGGGGACAGGGATGGGGACAGGGATGGGGACAGGCACCGGGGAGCTGGGATGGGGACAGGGATGGGGACAGGCACCGGGGAGCTGGGATGGGGACAGACACCGGGGAGCTGGGATGGGGACAGGCACCGGGGAGCTGGGATGGGGACAGGGATGGGGACAGGGATGGGGACAGGCACCGGGGAGCTGGGATGGGGACAGGCACCGGGGAGCTGGGATGGGGACAGACACCGGGGAGCTGGGATGGGGACAGGGATGGGGACAGGCACCGGGGAGCTGGGATGGGGACAGGGATGGGGACAGGCACCGGGGAGCTGGGATGGGGACAGACACCGGGGAGCTGGGATGGGGACAGGGATGGGGACAGGCACCGGTGAGCTGGGATGGGGACAGGCACCGGGGAGCTGGGATGGGGACAGGCACCGGGGAGCTGGGATGGGGACAGGCACCGGGGAGCTGGGATGGGGACAGGGATGGGGACAGGCACCGGTGAGCTGGGATGGGGACAGGGATGGGGACAGGCACCGGTGAGCTGGGATGGGGACAGGCACCGGTGAGCTGGGATGGGGACAGGGATGGGGGCAGGCACCGGTGAGCTGGGATGGGGACAGGCACCGGTGAGCTGGGATGGGGACAGACACCGGGGAGCTGGGATGGGGACAGGCACCGGTGAGCTGGGATGGGGACAGGCACCGGGGAGCTGGGATGGGGACAGGGATGGGGACAGGCACCGGGGAGCTGGGATGGGGACAGGCACCGGGGAGCTGGGATGGGGACAGGCACCGGGGAGCTGGGATGGGGACAGGGATGGGGACAGGCACCGGGGAGCTGGGATGGGGACAGGGATGGGGACAGGGATGGGGACAGGCACCGGGGAGCTGGGATGGGGACAGGCACCGGGGAGCTGGGATGGGGACAGGGATGGGCACCGGGGAGCTGGGATGGGGACAGGCACCGGGGAGCTGGGATGGGGACAGGCACTGGGGAGCTGGGATGGTGACAGCGATGGGGACAGGGATGGGCACTGGGGAGCTGGGATGGGGACAGGGATAGGGATAGGCACCGGGGAGCTGGGATGGGGACAGGCACTGGTGAGCTGGGATGGGGACAGGCACCGGGGAGCTGGGATGGGGACAGGCACCGGGGAGCTGGGATGGGGACAGGCACCGGGGAGCTGGGATGGGGACAGGGATGGGGACAGGCACCGGTGAGCTGGGATGGGGACAGGCACCGGGGAGCTGGGATGGGGACAGGCACCGGGGAGCTGGGATGGGGACAGGGATGGGGACAGGCACCGGGGAGCTGGGATGGGGACAGGGATGGGGACAGGGATGGGGACAGGCACCGGGGAGCTGGGATGGGGACAGGCACCGGGGAGCTGGGATGGGGACAGGGATGGGCACTGGGGAGCTGGGATGGGGACAGGGATAGGGATAGGCACCGGGGAGCTGGGATGGGGACAGGGATGGGGACAGGGATGGGGATAGGCACCGGGGAGCTGGGACGGGGACAGCGATGGGGACCAGTGAACTGGGATGGGAACAGGGACAGGGTTGGGCACTGGGGAGCTGGGATGGGGACAGGCACGGGGACAGGCACTGTTGGGCCGGATGAGTTGGGGACCCAAGGGGACAGCGCAGGGCAGGTCCCGGTGCCGCCTCACGCCCCGCTCCGGCAGGGGGGTGACGGAGGGGGTGACGCTGCTGCTGCTGGCGCTGCAGACGGGGCTGCTGGACCTGCCGGCGCTGCAAAGGACCTTCCTGCTCAGCATCATCCTCTTCATCGTGCTCACCTCCACGCTCCAGTCCATGATCGAGATCGCGGACCCCGTCCTGCTGGCGCTGGGGGCCTCCCGCAACAGGTACCGGGGCTGGGGCCCGGAGGCGCTGTCCCTGGGCTGGATGTGCCCCGCTGAGCTCCGCGCGTCCCATAGGAGCCCCTGGAAGCACTTCCGCGGTGTCAGCCTGTGCCTCTTCCTGCTGCTGTTCCCCTGCTTCCTGGCCTACAAGATCGCCCACTTCTTCCAGCTGGATTTCTGGCTGCTCGTCCTGGTCTCCAGCTGCATGCTCACCTCGCTGCAGGTGCGGGGCGCAGCCGGATCCCTGCTTACCCCGTCCCTATGGCGCTGCTGGGGGGGGGGGGGATGAGCCACGTCCCGAGAGAGCTGCATCCCATCTCCGTTGGGTGCGGGAGGGGGCTGCGGCAGCGGGGCGAGGGGCGATGGGGTCATCCGGAGCGGGGGGTTCGGGTGGCTCTGAGGCAGAAGGTCCTCGCAGTGGGGCTGGCGGAGCGGGGCCTGCTGGACCCGAGGTGCGCGGGTGCCAAGGCCGTGGCGCGGCTGCCCGCAGGTGATGGGCACGCTCTTCATCTACGCGCTCTTCCTGGCGGAGCCGGTGCGGGAGGCGGCGCCGGGCCGCGTGGACGAGGCCATTTACTGCGTGAGGGCGCTGAGCCGGGGGCTGGAGTTCCTGCTGGCGCTGAGCGTGGTGGCCTACGGGGCCTGGGAGTCGGTGCTGGGGCAGTGGAGCTGGCTGGGGGCCGCCGTGCTGCTCACCCACGCCTACCTCAACGTGTGGCTGCGGGCGCGCTGGGGCTGGCGCAGCCTCCGCCTGCGCCGGGGGGCGGCCAGGAAGGTGCGGGCCCTGCCCAGGGCCACGCGCGGGCAGCTGCGGCTGCACGATGATGTCTGCGCCATCTGCTTCCAGGTGGGTGCAGGGGGTGCCGTGGGCACTATGGGTGCTGTGGGTGCTGTGGGCACTATGGGTGCCGTGGGTGCTGTGGGCACTATGGGTGCTGTGGGTGCTGTGGGCACTATGGGTGCTGTGGGTGCTGTGGGCACTATGGGTGCCATGGGTGCTATGGGTGCCATGGGTGCTATGGGTGCCGTGGGCGCTATGGGTGCCGTGGGTGCTGTGGGCACTATGGGTGCTGTGGGTGCTGTGGGCACTATGGGTGCCATGGGTGCTATGGGTGCTGTGGGTGCTATGGGTGCCGTGGGTGCTATGGGTGCTGTGGGCACTATGGGTGCCATGGGTGCTATGGGTGCCGTGGGTGCTATGGGTGCCGTGGGCGCTATGGGTGCCGTGGATGCTATGGGTGCCCTGGGTGCTGTGGGCATTATGGGTGCCGTGGGTGCTATGGGTGCTGTGGGTGCTGTGGGCACTATGGGTGCCCTGGGTGCTATGGGTGCCCTGGGTGCTGTGGGCATTATGGGTGCCGTGGGCGCTATGGGTGCCATGGGTGCCGTGGGTGCCATGGGGGCTGTGGGCATTATGGGTGCCATGGGTGCTATGGGTGCCGTGGGGGGCTGTGGGCACTAAAGTTGCCATGGGTGCTGTGGGCATTATGGGTGCCGTGGGTGCTATGGGTGCTGTGGGTGCTATGGGTACCATGGGGGCTGTGGGCACTGGGGGTGCCATGGGTGCTGTGGGCATTATGGGTGTTGTGGGTGCCATGGGTGCTGTGTGCCAGGAATGCCAGGGGTGCTGTGTGCCAGGGATTCCATGGGTGCTATGGGTGCCGTGGGTGCTGTGTGCCAGGGATGCCAGGGGTGCTGTGGGCACCATGGGTGCCATGGGTGCTGTGGGTACCATGGGGCCTGTGGGTGCCAGGGGTGTCATGGGTGCTGTGGGCACTGGGGGTGCCAGGGGTGCTGTGAGCGCTATGTGTGCCATGGGTGCTGTGTGCCAGGGGCGCTGTGGGCACCATGGGTTCTGTGGGGGCCATGGGTGCTGTGGGTGCTGTTAGCACCTGGGGTGCTGTGGGCACTGTGGGCGCCATGAGTGCTTCAAGTGCTGTGGATGCTGTGGGTGCAGTGGATGCTGGGAGGGCCATGGGAGCTGTGGGTGCTATGGGTGCCGTAGATGCAGTGGGTGCCGTGTGCTGGGGATGTCAGGGGTGCCCATGGGTGCTGTAGGCACCATGGGTGCAGTGGGCGCTATGGGTGCCGTGGGTGCTATGGGTGCCACAGGTGCCTTGGGCACTGTGGGTGCAGTGGGTGTTATTGGTGCCATGGGTGCTATGGGTGCCACAGGTGCCTTGGGCACTGTGGGTGCAGTGGGTGTTATTGGTGCCATGGGTGCTATGGGTGCCACAGGTGCCTTGGGCGCTGTGGGTGCAGTGGGTGCTGTGGGTGCTATGGGTGCCACAGGTGCCTTGGGCGCTGTGGGTGCAGTGGGTGTTATTGGTGCCATGGGTGCTATGGGTGCCACAGGTGCCTTGGGCACTGTGGGTGCTGTTGGTGCCATGGGTGCTATGGGTGCCACAGGTGCCTTGGGCGCTGTGGGTGCAGTGGGTGTTATTGGTGCCATGGGTGCTATGGGTGCCACAGGTGCCTTGGGCACTGTGGGTGCAGTGGGTGTTATTGGTGCCATGGGTGCTATGGGTGCCACAGGTGCCTTGGGCGCTGTGGGTGCAGTGGGTGTTATTGGTGCCATGGGTGCTATGGGTGCCACAGGTGCCTTGGGCGCTGTGGGTGCTGTTGGTGCCATGGGTGCTATGGGTGCCACAGGTGCCTTGGGCGCTGTGGGTGCAGTGGGTGTTATTGGTGCCATGGGTGCTATGGGTGCCACAGGTGCCTTGGGCACTGTGGGTGCAGTGGGTGTTATTGGTGCCATGGGTGCTATGGGTGCCACAGGTGCCTTGGGCGCTGTGGGTGCAGTGGGTGCTGTTGGTGCCGTGGGTGTTGTGGGCGCCGTGTGCCGGGGCTGAGGCCGCGCTGTGCCCGCAGGACTTGGCCGTGGCCGTGGTCACCCCCTGCAGCCACCTCTTCCACGCCGCCTGCCTGCGCCAGTGGCTCTGCCTGCAGGACACCTGCCCCATGTGCCACCAGCAGCTCCAGCGCGGGGACCGCGGGGACCAGGCCCAGGAGGAGGAGGAGGAGGAGGAGGAGGAGGAAGGCAGCGCGAGGGCCCGGCCGCAGCCCCATGGAGGGGACGGGGAGGAGGGCGCGGAGGATGCCGGAGCACCCCCGCACCATCGCCCCCCTCATCCTCACGCCTCCAGCCCTCACCCCAGTGCCACGCAGCATCCGCCCCCCCCCGAGCTCCCTGCTCACCCCCGCAGCAGCCAGCACCCCCCGTAGCACCGCGGGCTGCACGGGGACCCCCCCCATGGGGCACAGGGCACCCCAGCGCCCGCACCCACGAGGACTCTGTAGCAATAAAGCCGAGGGGACGCTGCTGCGCCCGAGGCAGGGGCTGCTCCGGTCGCCCGCGATGGGACCTGACAGCGTGTCCGGGGGGCACGGGGCTGCTGCGGGTGTGGGGAGGGAGGGGGTGCCCCGTGGGTGCCATCCGCGGTTACCCCACTTGATGGCGGGGGGGCTGGGTCACTTTGCAGGGGGGGTTCCAGGGGTGGCCAGGGCTTGGTGTGGGACTGCAGGGGCTTGGCCTGGGCCTGGTGTGGGTCTGGCATGGGATGCAGTGGGCTTGGCATGGGTCTGGTGTGGCTCTGGCATGGGATGCAGTGGGCTTGGCATGGGTCTGGTGCTGGATGGTGTGGGTCTGGAGTGGCACAGGCTTGGTGAGAGTCTGGCAGGAGCTTGGCAGGGGATGGTCTGGGCTTGGTGTGAGTCTGGCAGAGGATGAGGTGGGATCAGCTTGTGCTGCCTTTGCCGATGCACCTGACAGCCCCTTCCGTGTCCCATCCCTGTCCCTTCCCTGTCCCATCCCTTTCCCATCCATTTCCCATTCCATTTCCCTTCCCTTTCCCATCCCTTTCCCATCCATTTCCCATCCATTTCCCTTCCCTTTCCCATTCCATTTCCCTTCCCTTTCCCATCCCTTTCCCATCCATTTCCCTTCCCTGTCCCATCCCTTTCCCATCCATTTCCCTTCCCTTTCCCATTCCATTTCCCTTCCCTTTCCCATCCCTTTCCCATCCATTTCCCTTCCCTGTCCCATCCCTTTCCCATCCCTGTCCCATCCCTTTCCCATCCCTGTCCCATCCCTTTCCCATCCCATTCCCATCCCTTTCCCATCCCATTCCCATCCCATTCCCATCCCTGTCCCATCCCTGTGCCGGGTCTGGGCTCCATCTCCACCCCCGGCAGATGAGGCTGGGCCCAGCCCTGCCCAGGATCCCCATTCCCATCCCTACAGGAGGGGGGAAGCGGCCCCCCCGGTGCCGGCTGCAGGGTTGGGGGGGCAGCGCGGGGGGTCCCTGGGGAGCTGGTAAATGGATTCCCCCCCCCGGCTGCACTCAGGCTGCCGGCAGCGGCTCCCATGGGTCCTGCAGCCCATTAATGGGAGCGGGGGAGGAGCCGGCCACAGATCCCAACTGGGGTTAATGGAGACGGGGGGAGCCCCCCGGTACATCCCCAGCACCCTCCATCCCCATCGCCCTCAGCCCCCGCTGCCCCCCAGCGCGTCCCCTCTGCTCGCAGCGCATGGCTGGGGGGTGCCGGGCGTCCCTGTGGGTGCCCCCAGCAGTGGGTGCAGCAGCTCCCCGCCCATCGCTGGCCCCACACGGGGTTGCTGTGGGGCAGCCGCAGCCCCCCCGCTCCCGCAGCCTCCATTAGCGCCCATTACCGCGGCCGTGCCGGGGAGCGCGGCTCCCCACGGGGCCGGTCCCGGGGGAGGCTCCGCACGGCCCTGCCTGGAAATGGGGGGAGCAAGGACAGAGACAGGGATGGACAAGGGCACAGCTGGAGGGGTGCATGGGTGGGCACTGGGGTGCACAGGGGCACGGATGCATGGATGCATGGATGCCGGAGACGTGTGGGTGGATGCTGGGGTGGATGTGGGCATGGAGAGATGGATGCTGGAATGGACATGGGCACGGATGGATGGGTGCTGGCAGGGATGGGAGGGTGGACTGTGAGACACTGGGGTGGACAGAGGCGTGGGTGGATGCATGCATGGATGCATGGATAGATGAATGGATGGATGCGTGGATGGAGGGATGGATGCATGGATGGATGGATGCAGGCATGCATGGGTGCATGGATGGATGGATGCATGGACAGGGGCACGGACAGATGGACACTGGGACAGACGGAGATGTGCATGGGTGGATGCTGGGATGGATGTGGGCATGGATGGACGGACACCAGGATGGACAGGAGCACAGACAGATGGACACTGGCATAGATGGGAGCATGGATGGACGGACAGCCGGTTTTGGCAGAAGCCATAGGGCCCCACCAGCCCTCAAGAGGGTCTTGGGGTGCAGTGGGGTCACTTTGGGGTACCCTGGGGTCACTCTGCAGTGTCTGGGGGGATGCACCGGGATCGCTCCAGGGTCTCCGCAGGGTGCCCCTGGGGTGTCGCAGGGGATTCAATGGGGTCCCTTTGGGGTCCCTCAGCGCACACAATGGGGTGTCCACGGGGTCTCCTCACCGTGTCCCAGGGGATTCAATGGGGTCCCTTTGGGGTCCCCCAGCGCACACAATGGGGTGTCCCCGGCCTCTCCTCACCGTGTCCCAGGGGACTCGATGGGGTCCCCCAGCGCACACAATGGGGTGTCCCCGGCCTCTCCTCACCGTGTCCCAGGGACTCGATGGGGTCCCTTTGGGGTCCCCCAGCGCACACAATGGGGTGTCCACGGGGTCTCCTCACCGTGTCCCAGGGGATTCAATGGGGTCCCTTTGGGGTCCCCCAGCGCACACAATGGGGTGTCCACGGGGTCTCCTCACCGTGTCCCAGGGGATTCCATGGGGTCCCCCAGCGCACACAATAGGGTGTCCCCGGCCTCTCCTCACCGTGTCCCAGGGGATTCAATGGGGTCCCTTTGGGGTCCCCCAGCACACACAATGGGGTGTCCCCGGCCTCTCCTCACCGTGTCCCAGGGGATTCAATGGGGTCCCTTTGGGGTCCCCCAGCGCACACAATGGGGTGTCCGCGGGGTCTCCTCACCGTGTCCCAGGGGATTCAATGGGGTCCCCAGCGCACACAATGGGGTGTCCCCGGCCTCTCCTCACCGTGTCCCAGGGGATTCAATGGGGTCCCTTTGGGGTCCCCAGCGCACACAATGGGGTGTCCACGGGGTCTCCTCACCGTGTCCCAGGGGATTCAATGGGGTCCCTTTGGGGTCCCCAGCGCACACAATGGGGTGTCCCCGGGGTCTCTTCACCGTGTCCCAGGGGATTCAATGGGGTCCCCAGCGCACACAATGGGGTGTCCGCGGGGTCTCCTCACCGTGTCCCAGGGGATTCAATGGGGTCCCTTTGGGGTCCCCAGCGCACACAATGGGATGTCCCCGGCCTCTCCTCACCGTGTCCCAGTGGATGCAGTGAGGTCACTCTGGGGCACCCCCACTGGGGTCACTTTGGGGTCCCTCCGGGGTGTCCCGGTGGGGGAGGCCCCGCAGCCCCCCCCCCCCCCTTCCCGCTGCCCCCGGGGGCCGCCCGGTGCCCGGCGCGGCTCTGGCCGCGGAGCCCCCTCCGCCGGGGCGGGGAGCGACCGCTCCTCCCCGGAATGATGTCAGCCTGCCCGGCCGCGGCCCCCGCCTCCCCCGGCGGCTCCGGCCCTGCCTCCCCGGGGAGGCGGCGGCGGCATGGCCCGGGCCGGCGGGGCGGCGGCGGCGGGGCCGCGGCGGCGGGTGCTGGTGCTGATGGTGCTGGTGGCCGCGGCGGCGCGGCGGGGCCGGGGCTCGGGCCGGCGGCGGGGAGGCGGCTCCCCCGGGCCCTCCGGTGCCCCCGGGCCCCTGCCGCCCCCCGGGCCCCTCCTGCTGCTGCTGCCGCTGCCGCTGCCGCTGCCGCCGCCGCCGTCCCGCGCCGCGCCCGCCGCCGCCGCCCGCCCGGTAACGAACCGCTCCCGCCCCATCCCGGGCCGCGCCTGCCCCCGCCCGCGGGCCTCGACGGCCTCCTCCCCGCTGCATCCCTCCCTCCGCTCCCCCGAGCCTGCCCGCATCCCTCCCTCCACTCCTCCTCTGCTGCCTCCATCCCTCCCTCCCGCCCTCGCAGCCTCCCTGCATCCCTCCCTCCAGCCCTTTAAGCCTTCCTCCATCCCTCCCTCCAGTCCTCCTCTACCTCCCCCCATCCCTCCCTCTATCCCTCCTTCCACTCCTCCTCTGCTCCCTCCATCCCTCCCTCCAGCCCTCGCAGCCTCCCTCCGCTCCCCTAAGCCTTCCTCCATCCCTCCCTCCACTCCTCCCCTGCCTTCCCCATCCCTCCCTCCCGCCGCCCCCCTCCCGGTCCCCGCACTTGGCTCCTGGTCTCCTTCGTCTCCAACTTCTCCGGCCCTGCCTCCGCCTCCCGCCTGCCCCCCCCCCCCCGGCCGGCTCCTCCCGCTCCCTCCCGGGTCCCCCCCCCCCCCCCCCGCCGCCGCCGATGCCGCTTCCCCGGCGGCCCCCGGCACCTGCCCGGCTCTGAGCTCCGCTCCCGGCCCCGGGGCAGGAAAGTTGGGGTCGGGCGCTGAGCCCCTGCCATGTTCTCCGTGCAGGAGGCGCTGCCCCGGGGGGGGCTGCCCATGAAGGAAGAGCCCCTCACGGCCGGGCTGCCCTCGGTCCGCTGGCTGCAGGGCACCGGCATCCTGGACGCCAGCACGGCGGCGCAGAGGTAAGCGGCTCCGCGGGCACCCCGGGCACTGCGGGCATCCCAGGCTCCACGGGCATCCCGGGCTTTGAGAGCATCCTGGGCTCCACGGGCATCCCGGGCTTTGAGAGCATCCTGGGCTCCACGGGCATCTCGGGCTTTGAGAACATCACGGGTGCTGCAGGCATCCTGGGCTCCACGGGCATCCCGGGCTTTGAGAGCATCCTAGGCACTGCGGGCATCCCAGGCTCCATGGGCATCCCAGGCTTTGCAAGCATCCCGGGTGCTTCAGGCATCCCAGGTTCCACGGGCATCCCGGGCTTTGAGAGCATCCCAGGCGCTGCAGGCATCCTGGGCTCCGCAGGCATCCCTGGGCTCTGTGGGTATCCTAGATGCAGTGGGCATCCTGAGTGCTGGGGGTCTGCTGGGCTCCCTGAGCATCCCAGGCTCTGTGAGCATCCCTGGGACTGAGGGCACCAAGGGCTCTATGGTCATCCCAGGCTCTGTGGGCATCCCAGGTTCCATGGGCATCCTGGGTGCGGTGGGCGCTTCAGGTGCTGTGGGTACGTTGGGCTCTGTGGGCATCCCCAGCACTGTGGACATCCCGGACTCCACGGGCATTCCGAGCTCTGCGAGTATCCCAGATGCAGTGGGCATCTTGGGTGCTGGGGGTATGCTGGGCTCCGTGGGCATCGCAGGCTCTGCAAGCATACTGGGTGCTGCGGGCATCCCAAGCTCCATGGGCATCCCAGGCTCCACGGGCATCCCAGGCACCACAGGCATTCTGGCTGCAGTGGGCATCGCAGGTGCTGGGGTTATTCTGTGCCCCACGGTGGTCTTGGGCTCTGTGAGTATCCCGGGCACCGCAGGTACCCTGAGCTCCACGGGCATCCCAGTCACCATGAGCATCCCGGGCTCCACGGGCATCCCAAGCACTGCAGGTATCCCGAGTGCTGTCAGCATCCCAGGCACCGGGCGCTGCAGGCATCCCAGGCACTGTGAGCATTCCGGGTACCAGGGACTCCATGGGCATCCTGGGCACTTTGAGCATCCCGGGTACCACCGGCTCCGCAGGCATCGTGGGTGCTGGGGGCAGCTGGGAATGATGGGTACCCCAGGCACCCCACAGAACCCGGATCCCTGGACCCCTTCGACATCCCAGATGCCTCATCCCCATGGGGTGCTCGGGGCACCCCCCACGCCCTGACTCCCTGGGCCTCAGGGATGCCTGCGTGCCCTGGTTACTGCAGGACTCCGCAGACATCAGCACCCATGGGTGCTGGGGCATCCTGAGCCACCCGGGGCCTGGTGTCCTGTGTTGGGAGAGCCGGTGGGTGCTGGCTGAGGGACAGGAGCTGCGAGAGGTTTGTGCACCCCATCCCTGTCCTCTGGGGGTGCTCAGGGCTCTGTGCACCCCATCCCTGTCCTCTGGGGGTGCTCAGGGCTCTGTGCACCCCATCCCCGTCCTCTTGGGGTGCTCAGGGCTCCGTGCACCCCATCCCTGCCCTCTCAGGATGCTCAGGGCTCCGTGCACCCCATCCCTGTCCTCTCAGGATGCTCAGGGCTCCGTGCACCCCATCCCTGTCCTCTCAGGATGCTCAGGGCTCCGTGCACCCCATCCCTGCCCTCTCGGGGTGCTCCGTGCACCCCATTCCCCTGTTTTCTCTCCACCCTGTGCCCAAAGGGGCCTGGGTGCAGCTGGGGGACACCTCACCCCTGTCCCCACCACGCCATCTCCCGCTGTCCCCCCTCTGTGGGGTTCAGGGGGCTGTTAAGGTGGGGGTTGAAGCCGTGGGGGATCCCTGGGTTCCCCCCAATAGCACTGGGATGCTCAAAACCTGCTGCACCCCCCCCCATCAATCCTTGGGGGGGGGGCACCCACATCCCAACCTGGAGCCCCCCACAGCCGCTGGACCGATGGTCCCACAGCCCCAGGGACTTCTCTGTGCCCCAAGTATGAGAACAGGAGTGAACTCTGCCCCCCAGAACCTGCGATGTGGGGGGACAAGGGGGGCACCCAGGGCTGGGACCGCTGCAGCCGCTCCGGTGGTGCCCTATGCCCAGTGTGCGAGCATGGGGCTCACAGACCCCCTGTCCCTACAAGCCTCAGGTGCCCCCCAATCCCCTCCTGTCCCCCCCATCCCACCATGGTACCCATGAGCTCGGCGCGTGCCGCATGTGCCAGCCATGACACACACGTGCACACGCGTGTGGGGTGTTCATCGCCCCCAGACTCAGCCTCCCTTCACCTGCACCCCCTTGGACCCCCATTGGGGCGGGGGGGTCATACATCCCCCACCCCACCCCCCAGCATCACTCACAGACACCCCCATTCCTATATGGTCCCATGGCCACCGCAGCTGCATCCATGGGCTCCTGGGTGTCCTGGTGCACCCATAGGGTGACCCTACGGGGTGGGGTCCCTCTTCCCCGCCCTGTTTTGGGGTGCAGTGGCTGACGGCCGGGCCAAGGGAAGCTGCTGCTTTCCTGGCAGAGCCGGGTGCTGGGAAGTGCTCTGATTGCTGTTAATAATTAATGGCAACGGGCTCAGCACGGAGCACCGGGAGCGGGGAGGCTGCCATCAGGCATCGCCTCCCCCCGCAGCACGGCAGGGATCCAGGGATGGGAACGGGAATGGGGTCTCCATCCCTTGCAGCCCTATGGCACAAGGGTCCCCTTCGGGGGGGGGGACCAGGGACAGCCGTGGGGTCTGGCCCCGTGTTTGTTGTCGGGGATGCTGCGGCTCCCCAGTGATGGGTTTAATGAGCTTCTGTCCTCATCGCACACGGGTGTCCCCGAGGGGGCCCAGCTTCACATTGGCCTTGCTTGGGGCCCACAGTGGTGCTGGGGGGGTAATTAAAGCCCAAGGGGCGTCATTACAGGGGGTGAAGGTGCCTGAGGTCCCCTGTGCACCCAGTGAAGCCCCATGGGAGCGGTGCTGGGAGGAGCGATACGGGGGGGTCTCAGCCGTGCAGGAGCAAAGGACCCCCCTACCTGGCTCCATCCCCAAGCACCCATTAGGTGAGGGTCACATCCCTCCATGGCCAGGGCTGGGATATGGGGGTGCTGAGGGGTCCTGCCCCACATTGGGTACCCATGGGAACCACTCCCAACAGCTTGACACCCCCCCCCCCCCCAACCTCCCCCCTGTCCCGATGTGCCCATGCGCATAGGGCTGGACCTATGGCATGAGGCGCTGACCCCACCGACTGCCCAAGGGAAGGGAACCCCCATCGCCATCCCCGTTCCCGTTTTCATCAGGAAAAGGGGAACTTCCCTCAGCATCAGGTGCCCCCAGCCCTGCCTGCGCTCGGGACAGGACCGGGGACAAGAGGGGATGGCACTGGGGACGGGAGGGGATGGGGACAGGAGGGGATGGCATTGGGCACAGGAGGGGATGGGGACAGGAGGGGATGGCACTGGGCACAGGAGGGGATGGGGACAGGAGGGGATGGCACTGGGCACAGGAGGGGATGGCAGTGGGGACAGGAGGGGATGGGGACAGGAGGGGATGGCACTGGGCACAGGAGGGGATGGCAGTGGGGACAGGAGGGGATGGGGACAGGAGGGGATGGCATTGGGGACAGGAGGGGATGGGGACAGGAGGGGATGGCACTGGGCACAGGAGGGGATGGCACTGGGGACAGGAGGGGATGGCAGTGGCGACAGGAGGGGATGGGGACAGGAGGGGATGGGGACAGGAGGGATGGCATTGGGGGCAGGAGGGGATGGCAGTGGAGACAGGAGGGGATGGCATTGGGGACAGGAGGGGATGGGGACAGGAGGGATGGCATTGGGGGCAGGAGGGAATGGCAGTGGAGACAGGAGGGGATGGCAGTGGAGACAGGAGGGGATGGCATTGGGGACAGGAGGGGATGGCAGTGGAGACAGGAGGGGATGGCAGTGGAGACAGGAGGGGATGAGGACAGGAGGGATGGCATTGGGGGCAGGAGGGGATGGCAGTGGAGACAGGAGGGGATGGCATTGGGGACAGGAGGGGATGGCATTGGGGACAGGAGGGGATGGCATTGGGAACAGGAGGGGATGGCAGTGGGCACAGGAGGGGATGGGCACAGGAGGGAATGGCACTGGGCACAGGAGGGGATGGGGACAGGAGGGGATGGCATTGGGGCAGGAGGGGATGGGCACAGGAGGGAATGGCACTGGGGACAGGAGGGGATGGGGACAGGAAGGGATGGCATTGGGCACAGGAGGGAATGGCACTGGGCACAGGAGGGGATGGGGACAGGAGGGGATGGCACTGGGCACAGGAGGGGATGGGGACAGGAGGGGATGGCATTGGGGCAGGAGGGGATGGGCACAGGAGGGAATGGCACTGGGGACAGGAGGGGATGGGGACAGGAGGGGATGGCATTGGGCACAGGAGGGAATGGCACTGGGCACAGGAGGGGATGGGGACAGGAGGGGATGGCACTGGGCACAGGACGGTAGAGCGCTGGGCACCGTTTCCCCCCCGGGGCCCGGCGCTGGCTTCAATGGGGCACCGGGCTAACGTGGCCGTGGGGCGTTAGGGCCCTGGGTGCTCCCCGTGTCGCCAGCCCCGGGGCTCAGGCGCTGCCCCCGGCTCCCCGCTGGCGCTGGGGGTGCCCGGGGCTGGGTCCCCCCGTTCACCGCCGTCGCCCTCCGCAGCGGCGTGGGCCTGGCCCGGGCGCACTTCGAGAAGCAGCCGCCGTCGAACCTGCGGAAATCGAACTTCTTCCACTTCGTGCTGGCCATGTACGACCGGCAGGGGCAGCCCGTGGAGATCGAGCGCACCTCCTTCATCGACTTCGTGGAGAAGGAGCGGGTGAGCCCCTGCCCACCGGGCACCCCCGGCTCATCGCGCCCAGGGCGGCTGCGGGGTTGGACGGGGGCACCGGGAGGGGACCGGGATGCGCGTGTGCCCCCCCCATCCATCCAACCGTGATCCCCCCAGGAGCAGAACGGGGAGAAAACCAACAACGGGATCCACTACCGGCTGCAGCTGCTCTACAGCAACGGTGGGTGATGGGGGCGTGGGGCGGGGGCACGGGGGCATGGGGGCATGGGGATATGGGGATATGGGGATATGGGGCATGGGGATATGGGGATATGGGGCATGGGGATATGGGGATATGGGGACATGGGGATATGGTGATATGGGGCATGGGGACATGGGGATATGGGGATATGGGGCATGGGGATATGGGGATATGGGGCATGGGGATATGGGGATATGGGGCACAGGGATATGGGGATATGGGGCATGGGGATATGGGGATATGGGGACATGGGGATATGGTGATATGGGGCATGGGGATATGGGGATATGGGGATATGGGGATATGGGGCACGGGGATATGGGGATATGGGGATATGGGGCGTGGGGACATGGGGATATGGTGATATGGGGCATGGGGACATGGGGATATGTGGATATGGGGCATGGGGATATGGAGATATGGGGCGTGGGGACATGGGGATATGGGGATATGGGGCATGGGGATATGGGGATATGGGGCGTGGGGACATGGGGATATGGTGATATGGGGCATGGGGACATGGGGATATGGGGATATGGGGCATGGGGATATGGGGATATGGGGATATTGGGACATGCGGATATAGGGATATGGGGACATAGGGATATGGAGATATGGGGACATAGGGATATGGGGATATTGGGACATGGGGATATGGGGACATGGGGCATGGGGATATGGGGACATGGGGCATGGGGATATGGGGACACGGGGATATGGGGACATGGGGACATTGGGACATGGGGATATGGGGATATGGGGACATGGGGATATGGGGACACGGAGGGGTACAGGCCGGGCTGTGACCCCGCTGTCACCGCAGGGCTCCGCACAGAGCAGGATCTCTATGTGCGCCTCATCGACTCCATGTCCAAGCAGGTAACGGCACGGGGCTGGTGCCTGGCACACGCGTGTGCACATGGGGTGTGCCAGAGGGGTCATCGGTACACGTGTGTGCCAGGCAGGCACATCTGTACATGCATGGGCAGCGCAGGCACATCTGCACATGTGTGTATCAGGCAGGCACATCTGTACATGCATGGGCAGCGCAGGCACATCTGCACATGTGTGTATCAGGCAGGCACATCTGTACATGCATGGGCAGTGCAGGCACATCTGCACACATGTTTGTGCCAGGCCGGCACATCTGTACATGTGTGTGCCAG